GTCGGAAATGTTATTAATTTATGGAATTACTAGCTTTCCGCCCGCGGCTTCGTACGCGTGGATCCCGTTTTACCCCCTTAGTGGTGGAGTTTCATAAAAACCTTTCTTAGCGGATGCCTACGTCACAACATCTACCTGCATGCCAAATTTCAGCCCGATCCGTCCAGTGGTTTGGGCTGTGCGTTGATAGATCACTATGTCAGTCAGTCAGTCAGTCACCTGGTAAATTAGAGGGTCCTGCAGTGGAGACTAAACGACCTGATAATGATGAAAGTTTTAAAAAGTGTCCACTTCTCGTTTACGCCAGGCCTTAATCTTCGGAAGGCAACAAGGGTGACTGGTCACCCCACCAGTTCAAGTCTTCATACCTTTAGTTGCTGATTTTACAGGTTAACAGGTTGGTACTTCAGGTCACCCCAAAAACAGTGCAGTACAGAAATAGCTGTTTAATCATGTGTATTAAAATCTATAATAAAACACCCAAAGAATTTAGGACATTAAGCATTTGAAATTTTAAGAAACATTTGAGTAAATGGTTGCTATCACTGACACTTTACGATTTAAAAGAGTTCTTTGACTTGCTGTAGTTTTGTTCTTCTTTAGAATCGTCGCTAATATTGTGGTAACTTTTGCATGCTAATAATTTTAGCTAAACATGTATAATTCTCACTGTCTGTACCTAACAACTTTATATATACCATGTTTAATTGCAAATAAATGATTATATTATGATGTTGTATTCTGTCGTTTGGTCTATTCTCTAATTGGAGGGAGAGCTATCAGTCGCATGCGTGAACATATCGCGTTAGGCTCATGTTTTTGATATTATGACACTGCTGGGGTGCTATTTATTGTTGCTATTTACGTATACTTTATTTTTTCGTGTTGCTACCGTAAATGGTTGGTTTTGGAGTAAAAGTGGCTTTGTGTTCGGATGGTCAAATCGAAAAATACTTTCATGGATTTGCTGATGTCAATTCCTAACATAAACGCTGCTCAGATAATCATAAAATTTCCAAAATTTAAGACAATATCTCAGTTAAGTCGGAGGAGGAAGACTTTATTTCCAATGGCGAAAATTGTTACGACGATGACGTTCTACTAGCATAGTTTGAACAAAATCTGCTACTATGTAAGAACGGACATGTTTGGTCTTTGTGCCATGTTGGGAGACCGTATGAATGAGACACGGGTTGTAGTTAGTCTCTGCTATATGTCTGTTTATTAACGCGAACTGCGTGACTATTTATACGATATAGATTAAAGGTAATTGACGTCACAGCATCAGCACTATAGGTGATAAATGTGAACGTGATCAAGATAGGATATGAAGAGATTAAGTATTGTGCATACTGGCACAGTCTTCTTGGTTCCGTCACCTAGGAGTCAAACACCATGACGAAATATAGTAACTCTTGCGAGAGATGCGAGAATTATAGAACAATTACACATGGCATTCTAAATATGAACTAGGGACCTCCTGAGGGTGCACCTTCAGCAAAGTTACAGAAGCAGGCAAGGTGAGTGCTGTGTCAAAGAAAACTGGACAAAAAAGTTAAGACATCTCGTATAAAAAAATGTCAACTACCCTCATGCCCTGAACATCGCAAAGATATTTGCTTTAACTATGCTTAATGTTAAAAATCAATTTATTAAAAATATATAAACTATTAAATTAAAGCATTTTTACTTTTATAATGAAACAAAGTAATAGATCTTATCATTAATAACTTTGATTTTTCATTACAAGGCTATTTTACTTCAAATGGTATTTGTGGGGTGACTGGTCACCCTTGTTGTCATTTACGTATACAAAAAAAGTGTTGCCTGCGGAAGGTTAATCAGAATGGTTAATTCATTTTTCTTTGACTTTTAATTTATTACTTCAACTTGGTAGGTACTATGGGTTCATTAAATTGCTTAATAGTCGTGAAGCTATAAATTGTATAGCTACTAGCTTTCTACTTCCCATAAGATAATTGGGTCGGCTAGGCTTTTTAATGTTCCTTTTTAAGTTGGAACCAAATAAATGTTTTTCTTTCTTTCTTTCTTTTTAACTAGTTTTTGCTTGTGGCATTATCCATTTCAATTTTAGTATTTTTAGAAAGCCTAAAAAGTCCCCCAAAAGCATTTTCACGTACAATGTTGCCAAGACGAGTCTATAATAGTTAACATCGTGAAAAAGTTATCACATGTCATAAATGTAGAGTCAATTGAAGCTTCTATCTAACCTAAGTGAAAATAATAAATTAGATAGTAGATGAATGATTTCTTAGACCTTTGTCCAGCAGTGAACATCCTTTGACTGAAACGAACGAACTATTTTGACTCTAATTCCTTTCAAATCAACGTAGTTACAGTACAGATTCCAATTATAGGTAATATTATAGTAGATGTTATGGATATCATTCAGGTACGAATATACAGGGTGATCGACCAAAAAGTACTTATTGATTCTACTGCTCCTGTGTAGCCAAGCCAGGATCTACATGCAGCTTGACCGCCAATAAAAACCCGTTTGTCCTGGAGCAAAGTTAAACTGTCAATAGTTGCACGGTGCACCCGCAACGAAATTAATGTAATAATTTACATTTGATCAGTAGAATCAATCCTTTTTGTTCGACCACCCACCAATGGGTCACCCTGGTTTGTTTAGGTACAAAATACGCCACCCTGTATACCTGTAGGTAGGTTTATGTTTAGGTATAAGTAATTACTTGGCTGCAGAAATGCAGTCCCGTGCCAAACGTTGGTCGTTCTCAATGAGGGTACTTCATGCTTTTGAACGCGAATTATGTATGAAATCCTGCCTCTTTCGTATTGATTCGTAAATATCATTTCGTATTGGTTCGTTTAAATGGTGTTGTTCCGGGTTCACTTCTCGGCTAGGTCAAACGGTATTAATATTAACTAAAAAGATCAGTTGTGATTTTTCTTCAGGGCATTTTTAGTATTAAGAGTCGCATTGGTCGCATCTCGAACTAAATTATAAATAACTTGAAAAAATCGAATTTCCTAAGGTGGGAATTTACCTATTTTTTCCTAAAAAAAAGTTTATAAGCATCTCTTATTGTAGCCTTTGCACAAACGCTATCTAAAACGAGAATACGATCGTCCCTTGTGGTTTCCGAATCCATCAAAATACGGTCTAGAAAAGTAACTAGAGAAATGGGCTGGGTACTTCTCATTTACACTCAAATTTGATGGTCACACAATAATAGTTCATAAACGGTATAAGTTAGAACAATAACTTTGAATTCAGGTGATAACATATCTATTTAGCTACATACAAAACAAATTTTATCGTAATAGAAGCAAAAATAATACGAAAACATCACATGAAACGATACAAAACGGGGTAATTTTTCGCGTTCTCATCGTGTCACACCTTCGGTTGCAATGAAACATTTGGTTACTGCGTTCACAATTTTCATTCAATTTGTGTGTAACATATACTAAAATCATTGTAATTAAATATACTTTCCACACAATAGTCAAAAAAATATCTTCTTATAATTATTTCGAATTGAGGAAGGAAAATACGTTGGTCACACGATTTTAGGTACCTAAAATTTTGAGTAATCATACAAGATTGCCGTTAAACCGAACACCATCAACCAATCACTGTGTTCTATTCGGTTAACGTCAGTCGCGCTCCTGCCATTGCCGAGGTGAGATAAGTCGATCGTCGCTCCGGGAAAAAAATACGTAACTTTTTGTGATTATCCATAGACATTCCGTCGCTTGCTTGATCAATATTTTCTACCTCTAAAATTTAAACAATTTAATTGAAACTTAGGCCATTGAAAACTTAACATGTTAGACTTATTTGTGTAGTATTCGACTTGAACCGTTAAACTCAAATTTAGGGATAATGAATAAAAAACTAAAATTTTCGTCACCTTCGTGGCATCACCTTCGTGGTGTTTTATACACGAATGTGATTTTAGGCCACGAAAGTGATTTCTTGCTTTGGTTTATTTTAAAATATAATGACTGGTGTTTAAGTTTTTACAATATTTTAATAACGAATAAATTATACGTGTTAAGTAGAGTTCAGTACATCAATAAAAAAATAAGGGCCTCGTATTTTTTTTGTCTGTCTGTCTGTATGACTGTATGTATGTCTGTATATGTGACTGTGTATCTGTTTGTAAGATAAATTTAATCTGAAGTTTGAGTTAAAAGTTGTACAACAAAAATACAAGGCCATCTGGCCTCAATAAATAAACATATTTTTTGTTGAGGGACTGATAAGTTAAGAGTTCTTTTTTATTGAGGTACTGATAATCCTTTTTTTTGCTTCTTTAGGATTTCAGAATACCACCAGTATCACCCTTAAAACCAATTGCGTAGAATCTTGTAACTTAGTAGGTGACGTCATCGGTAAAATTTTATCTTGTATTTAACTACCTACCTATTTATACATATTATGTTATTGCCATTTATCTATGAAAATAAGACAAAATATAAGTTTTATAAATACTTAAGAGTCATTTACAGTAGTAAAGTTTGAAATAATTATTGCTGTGAAGTACAGAATCACTTTCGTGGCATCAAAAAATTCAAAACGTTAAAGCTTCCAAACCAGACTCACTATTTGACTGATTTACTGAGAATACACTCTTCACATCAAGCGCTACAATTTTTGTTTACAAAAAGTTGAAATAAGTTAAAAATAAAATTTGCCACGAAGGTGACGATGAGAACCGTGGCGATGAGAAATACCCGGCTATGACGGAGACGGATCTAGTGCGTAAACTACCATAAAATTTACACGTGACATTGACACCGAATGCATGGTTCATGGGCACTTTTCTATGGCATAGGCTTGTTCGATACGTCTTAGGCCCGGCTACCTCCGTTGTCAGTGTGAAGTGCTGATTTTAGGACACCCTGTATAGTTCTAACTACTCCGAACCGTATTTTCACGTAGTACAAACGCTCTTAAACTTTGAGAAAAAGAAGTCTGTTAATAAAGCGCAACGTTGTTTCATCAGGTAAACGCTGCGTTTGAAGAACTGCGTGTGAGAGCCCGCGCGGGCAGCGGGCGACTGCCCAAGCTGGAGATACTGAGAGCTGCGATACAACACATTGAGAGACTTCAAGCGGCGCTACGAGCGGCTGCCGTGGTAAGTAATTTTTTTTTGATACTTTTGAAAGGCATTAAGGCGGTTAGCACACTGCGCCGCGCTCCGCCGCGGTACGCGGGACGACAGATTTAATCATTGTATGCAAGTACCTCAGTGTGTATAGAAAACACGCGCGGCACAACACACTGACAACGCGTCTGCGCGCGGGATTTTTTATATGGAATCACGCGCTCCGCGGCGGAGCGCGGCGCAGTGTGATAACCGCCTTATATACCTAAAGCGTGATCGAATCAGAAATGAGGAGATCCGCAGGAGAATCAAAGTGACAGACATAGCCCGCAGAATCGCTCAAATCAAGTGACAATGGGCGGGGCTCATAGCTCGCAGAGCTGATGGCTGCTGGGGCAGAAAAGTTCTCGACCACGAGCCGGAAGACGTAGTGTGGCCTGCCTGGATGCGAGCGACGCAGGACCGGTCTTTGTGGAAATCCTTGGGGCCTCTGTCCAGCAATGGACGTCATTCGGCTGAAACGAACGAACGAACTAACTCTTTAAAAGCACTTTTACACGTCCCAGTATCATTTTAACTCTACCACTGCTTCAGGACAATAAATGGGCCAGTGCTGAGAAGAAGCAGCGCAAGAAACTCAGTCACTAGTCAGTGTATTTTTCAAGGTTTTACAAATCCTTAAAATATTATGTAATACTACAAGCTAGAGATACAAAGGGCTGCGACAACACATAGAGAGGCTGCAGGCCGCATCCGCTCCCATGGACCAGCTTTAAGGGCCTGGGGAAGAGAGGGCTCATTCTAGGCTTCGGAGGACACCGTTGGGTGTTTGTCCCCATCGGCCAGTGCACAAAATCTCCAATCTACTTAGGCCCAGAACAGACGGTGAAACGCAACTGCAACTTTGTGATGATTCTGATGAATGAAACTGAAACTGAAAGTTTCAAACTGGTCGCGTCATGTGTGGTCTCTCAACGGACGCTATGGCAGAAACTTAGATGCAACTCAAAAGTAACTTAGCAGTTGCAGTTTCGTTGCAGTTGCGTTTCACCGTCTGTTCTGACTTCTGGGCCTTACTGTAAGGTGCATCAATAAATATACATATAGTCAAGAATCAAGAGGACATCGAGCTGAATCTTTGCAAAATTGTACCTACTATAGTCTCGTCCGGGAGCACGTAGAATTTTGTCCAATGACCCCAAGCTACCCATCCTTATCTCTTGCTCGTAATTATGTTGCTGTCGCGACTGTGGGACGGGCGCCCGCAGTGAGTGTGCGAGCGTGACAGCAACATAATTACGCGCGAGCGATAAGGATGGGTAGCTTGGGGTCATTGGACAAAATTCTACGTGATCCCGGACCAGACTATACCATGTAATTTTGAAACAAAAATATTAGCTCTTGACTGTACCAAGACAGTCCATTCAAACAAATAAACAACTAAGTAGCCCGTGCTTCATATGGGTGAATTTCAACAAGTGCATATTTTTGCCTAATTTTGGTGGAAATTGTTATTTGTGTATTTTTATTCTTTAATTACAGATCAAATTTATTGGAAACTTATACTGTTTCTAAAATGATTAAGACATTAAATTTTGTCCAGTAGTTTTTTAGATTTTCTTTACACCAAAATTAAGAGAACACCAAAATTTATATTAAAGCACCAAAATTAGAAAATATGCTGTCAGTCGGTCATATCTTAGTGCCAAGCTCAAGAAATGGTTTTAAATTTACCAGCACCGACTCCAAAAATATTAATCATGGTATATTGTCCTAATAAATAAATAACGACGTACTTATTTTCTACTTTTAAGTGATTGTTGGCGTCGGTTTTAATTTTTTTGTTAAAATTATTTTTTTTCATGCTTTTTAGTTGATTAGTCCTTGTTATTGTCACTGAAGAGGGACAGTACCTATGTTTAATGTGATTAAGACTATAATTTTCCATTTTGTAATGGAAAATTATAGTCTTAATCACAATCCAAGTGTAAATAATCTTCCTAGCAAAATACAGGCTCCCTACTTTAAATATCGGCAACTAAAAAGTATCAATGTATCATGTGTCAATGTATGTATCAACAAATGAGTATTGAGTATCATCTAACTCCTAACTTATGTTGTTTGACCTTTCATCATCAGCTCATCTTAAATACCTGAAATAATACAACTGTATGTACATACCTACCTAAAATATTTAAAGAATTATCCTCCAACTCCTAAGCGTTAAGGAGTTTTACCTTCCATCATCACCTCATCAACATTAGATGATGACTACTTGAATAACTTTAGAAAACGTATTGCATTCCTACAAAATTTGAGGTTTACTCTCGATTTCCCTAGGATCCCATCATCAGATCCTGACTTGGTGACAATGGGACCACCACATAAGTGTACCCTATAGAACAAAAAAAGAATTTTGAAAATCGGTTCACAATTGACGGAGTTAAGTCGGTTAAAAATGCTTTGGTGCACCACCAAAAACACCAAAATTGACTCACCAAAATTAGATTCTCGTTGAAAAAGCTAAATTATATGAAATCTGTTTTAAATATAACAATAACATTTTAACACATGGTATGAAAACAGTTCCTTTACATTATACGAGGAATTCAACTAAAAAGAATAGCTTAGAAATCTTATACAAAAAGACACCAAAATTGCAGAATTGTTGTCCGTTTAAAAAAAAACAACACATTTACGTTTTTGGCGGGAAGACGCAGAGGTCTTGCACCCGTCTGCCGTCACTGCTCGCGGGGGCGGTACTAAACCTAACGAATGATGGGAGTGTTTAAATCCTGTTTGATCTTTAAAGAAACTGACGAGCTATTTCATTATTGACACCAAAATCATAAATTTTTCGCGGACAAAACTTAAGGACGTGACTTAATCACAGTTATTTGGGAAACTTGCTTAATTTGGTAATCTTAGATAATAGATAGATTGTATAATCCAAAAATATACTTTTTCCCTAAGTTCTGTTTTGATCTTCAGCTAAAAAAATACATATTGTAAGAAATTAAGGATGTGGACACTGCACCAAAATTAGAAACGCTTAGTTCAATTATTTTTTGTCGAATTTGTAAAAGAAAATACTCATTAATAATGTTGTCCTCAAAATGGAACCTCTGTATATTTTCGTGTAAAAAAAATCAAAGTTCTATGTCATAAAAAACATATGATTTTCAGCTACGCCGCTCAAAAAATGTGTTTGGGAAATTGACCCATATCTCATGTCGTTTTGCTTGTGACACTCTTGCGCAGGACACGTGTGCATTTAATTTTAAACTCTAATCCGTTGAGTTAAGGCGGTGCTATTTTCAGCGGTGTCACGGTGCACCCTCGATCTGAGATTCGTCCTTTTATTTGTAAGGGCAGAATCAATGCGTCGCTGGGAGCGTATCTCTTAAATCATCTTTGCTGAAAACATAACCCTCCTTCTGACGCAGCTGGGTAAAAAATAAGAAAATTTTCTCCACAATGTAACATAAAGGTAGCGGGAAGGCGCTGGATGCAGGCCGCCACCAACCGGCCATTGTGGAAATCATTGGGGGAGGCCTATGTTCAGCCATAGACGTCCTGTGGCTGAAAATGATGATGATGATGATGATCCACAATGTGGAATCTCAAGACCTGCAGTTCAACGTTAGGCTGAAGGTGGAAGCGCATTCACCGGAATCGATAACCAACCACAGAGGAAGGCTATCTTACCTCCAACTGCTGGAACGCACAATGTTGAGAACATTGTACCTATTCAATGCACAAATTCGGCAGTAAGAAGATAGCCAGTGCCTCTGTGAGTGAAGCTTCCACCTTCGGTCTGATCATCACTTTAGATCTGGTGAGATTCAGGCCAAGCTTCTCCGTTGTGGGTAAAAATACTTAGCCATTCCTTTGATGTCTCCTCCAAAGACTTCCACAACAACTAGCGCCAGCCCGCATCCAGGTGCTTCCCGGGATCTTTACTAGATCGTCGGTCCAACGAGTGGGAGGCCTGCCTTACACTACTTCTTCATGATCGCCCCTCCTTTAAGTTTTATTTACTTAACCCATCTTTCTTAACCATCAAACCAAAATGACCTGATGATGAATGTCTGAAGGTCTTTGGACATGGGCAAACCCGGTTATTGTACCAGAAGGGGGCCTGGTCCAGGATAGGGAAAACATAGATATTTTTTTAGTCAGTACCCCCCTACTACAGACAGACCCTAAAGGATGCTGCTTCCCCTGCCCCCTTCGACTGTATAGTTCGTTTCATCCATGAAGACGCGCCCCACCAATGTTTGGTCTCGGTCGCGCGGGGTGCGGGGAGTTTGATCCGAGCAATCTGAGGGTCATTATTGTAGTGTGCGTGTGCACTCATGGATAATTTAGCGTGTAGGTACCGATAACACTCAAACATTAGCGGAAGAATGGTGGGGCGCGTCTTCGTGGATGAAACGATCTATACGCTACGCCCATGCCCTGAAGTCTTACTGTAAGACTGTGGACTTTTGTCCAGTTTTATCTGTTTTCAGACTCCATCTATCCCGATTCAATGATAAAACTCCCATTTCTTGTTTTTCTATAACTTTGTCACAGTCGGCGCGATCTTGTAGCGATGTAAAACCACCATTAATTCATGTCCACAGATTATTTATTCGAGCACGTGCACGTTGGAAATAGAATGGGCAGGGATGCCACTTATTATTAAATCTGTGATTAGATTAAAGATAAGTTAATTTTAATAATGATTTTTGGATTTTAAAGCATGGAATAACGGTCTGCCTCAGTTGGAACTTTGAAACCGACTACCTACCCTTCACATTACTTCGCTCAGAGTTTCTCCAATTCATATATGTTTTACATAATTTTCTTATCCACATGTGTGTGTAACACACGTATTCACAAACGATACTTGCTTATGTGAAGCAGCAACGCTATGCGAAATCGAACAAACAGCGTTGAGTATAGCTCTGTGATTGGTTCGTGTGTGTCACTCCGCAACTCAAGTATTGTCTATGAATAGGTTTTTAGGACCCTGTGCGTCCACGCACACTGTGAGACCTCATAGTAATGTTTGTGAATACGGCTGTAAGATACTCACATGTCAGTTTGCACTGGTGGGAATAGTTCCGTATAACACCCATTACAATAAAAATATAATAGTCTAAAAAACTAAAAACACGCTTTTAATTAATGCCCTGCCGTTTCGTTTAGAAGTCCAAAACAAAACGGCCACTATGGCCACCTTCCAGTCCCATCATCAGACCAGCTCGATGGTACCATAATCTTGTATTGTCATCTAATCTACACATACTCTCTCAACGAACTAGAATACTAGAATAGTATGGAGTTTGGACATTCAAAATAACAATTTTACAATGTGGCAGCCCTGTCGCCGCGAAATCCGCCTGTATTAATCTAATGCGCGCGCGCTTCGCGGTAGGCGCTCGGAAATACCGCTCTATTGGCCATCGCGCATCAATGTGCTCGGTTTGGCCTTTTGCTTATGGGATTGTCTTTTTATTGTAAATTATTACAACTTACAAAAAGACTAGAGAAAGAATCGTTTTGTTCGACTACTTCAGCTCGGTTAACACGGCTACTTTTTAAGGCGACACCTACGCAACTACAAGACTGCTAAAATCATAAACCTTTTGGCTTCACCGTAGCTGGGTAAAACAGGATAAATGTACTACCTATTGTACCCAATGAGGCTTCTGATTCTGTAATCATAAGAGCTGGTTGAGTTTCTTGTGTCACTTTTCAGCGCCAGCCGACATGAAGGCCAAATCCTCCATTTGCAAAAAAAATTGAGAAATTCGCTCCTGCAGTGGGGACTTTTTTTGTTGAGCCTTAGCTTACCTTTTAGGGTTAATGCTGGAGGCCAAATAAATAATCTGATGATGATGAACATTATTTCCTGTAATTCCCAGCCCAGCATCTATCAGACTAAGTTTCTTAGGACTGAAACTTGAAGGGCTTGAAAAAGACCTACAAATTAAAAAAGAAATTGAATTTCATAATGTAGACCTACCTATCATTCAGGTGATCATTTAGCTTGTTGTTGTAGTTGGAGTCTGAAAGCTGTAAGGGGTACATGGACACCCCAGTCGCGGCCACGAGAAGCGACGTGCGCGACCCCAAAATGGAGAAAGAGAAACCCTTTCTGAACAGTAAGTAAATTGGGTCATTCCTGTTTTTTTAACACTAAGCGTAGGGCATACCATCGACTTTTAGTTGGCCGATAGTTGGGCCCGATTTCTATTTGTATGAAGAATCGGTCGATACCAAATGGGTGTTACCTAATGTGCGCACTTTCATTCGTCTCCATACTGATTTTCAACAGCCCGACTCAACTATCGGCCAACTAAAAGTCGGTGGTCTGTACCTAGGCTAAAAAGCGACAATAGCTGAACGCTGAAGGCGTCGGACTCACAGAACATAGAAAGAGGTTTCAGTTCTGTAATTTTATAGCAATCGAGTGGCGACCACTGGCTGAAAACCTTAATGTAGACAGTCCATCCATTCGGTGGACCCACTATCTAGTGAAGATACCGGTCGTTATGGAAATCCTTGGGCGAGGCCTTTGTCCAGCAGCGTCTTATAATTGAAAGTAACTTTAAACCTTTGTTTCAGATGAAGTCAGTGGTTGTGGAGTAAACAGCCTAGCAAGATTACGGTGTATCGTCCAAGCTCTATCAGTGAAAGACAATGCTCTATGACATTAATTGAATGTAATTAGTATTTATCAATGAAATGGCCTTCTTCAATGTCTGTAGCAAAAAAGTTGAAATGGGACTTTAAAACGGCTGAAGAAAACAAAGTATTTTCTTACTATACTCGTAGTCTGATCTGTGAGCACGTAGAATTTTGTCCAATGACCCCAAGCTACCCATCTTTATCGCTCGCGCGTAATTATGTCGTCGCACAGTCGCAACAGCAATATAATTACGCGCGAGCGATAAGGATGGGTAGCTTAGGGTCATTGGACAAAATTCTACGTGCTCACAGACCGGGCTTTTTTAGTTATTACTAACTATTGCTTAAAACCTTGTAAGAAGACTTTAGTTTTTCCTTTTTAAGAACTTCTTTCTTTCTAGTTTGCTTCTCTCGTAAGAGAAAGTAAATAAATGTTTACTAAAGTGCTCAAATCAATCTTTGCTCAATAATATTACTCAAATTTTGTGTAGCGGGTTCGAAATAAGGAGAAGAAATGTTGGTTTACTGATTTGTAACTGTAGATAAGGTGGTAAAATATTGTATTAAGTGTGTTTATTTTAAATAGATTAGGTATACTTATTTAACTACTTATGTGTACTTAATTTATTACAAACAGAAACATACCTATTAACGCATACACTTATTCATAAAAATACACCTTAAAAATAATAAAAACCCACCAAGTGTGAGTCGCAAAGGGTTCCGTACAGCGAATTTCGATACAGTACCCTAAATAAATAGTAACATAGCTAAAAAAAGTTGCAAACTTACTATATTAGAAAGATGTTCCTATAGTTTAATTATGTTAGAAAATGTGTAAATAAAAATAGGGAATAAATAAAAATAGTGAGTGAGGATACCGGAGGCCCAATTGGGGGGGAATGGGATTTAACCTTCGGCAGGCAACACTTTTTTTGTATACGTAAAAGGCAACAGGGGTGACCAGTCACCCCACAAATACAATCCCAACTAATATTATAAATGCGAAAGTAACTCTGTCTGTCTGTCTGTCTGTCTGTCTGTCTGTCTGTCTGTCTGTTACGCTTTCCCGCTTAAACCTCGCAACCGATTTTGATGAAATTTGGCATAGAGATAGTTTGAGTCCCGGGAAAGAACATAGGATAGTTTTTATCCCGGTTTTTGAAACAGGGACGCGCGCGATAAAGTTTTTCTGTGACAGACAAAATTCCACGCGGGCGAAGCCGCGGGCGGAAAGCTAGTTTTAAATAAAATAGCCTTGTAATGAAAAATCAAACTTATTAATGATAAGATCTATTACTTTGTTTCATTATAAAACTAAAAATGCTTTCATTTAACAGTTTATATATTTTTAATAAATTAATTTTAAACATTAGAGTCATTCGGGGTAACAGCACGCGGTGGGTAAAAGTACGCGGTGGTCCGATCTCCGACAGGGGTGGAGGATAGGGTGTCCCGAAATATCTTTTTTTATATTTTCGCTACACAAGACCCCTCAAAAGTTGCGTCATAAGATGTAGATTACCGTAAAAATAATTAAAAAAATATAAAATAATGTCTCAAGGGCTCTACCGGCATTTTTATGTCTCAAAAAATCACTTAATCAGCCCTTCACTGTTGGTCATCTATTATATTTTTTTCACAATTATTTCATTTTATTTTGTAATAACAGTGGCAGTTGAACCCTAAGATATGATTTGCAGGCAATGACAGACTGTTTGGGGTGCCATAGGACTTGTGATTGGGGGGGGGGGGGAATCGCCCCGGGTGCCAACCCATGCTACGCCGCCACTGATCCTAGTTCATATCAACCACAAAACTCAGCAATACAATGTGTGAAAAAATGTGTAACTTCGCCCGCATGAATTTCAGCCCTTACAAAAAGCAGTTGTCCCGCGCGTCCCCTTTCAAAACTCGGGATAAAAACTAGGTTATCCTGTTTTTCCCAGGGTCTCAAACTATCTTTTCCTACAGCCTTTACTTAAATGGATTCAGCAACATTCCTACACAGAGAAGACTACAAACATACAAAAAAGTCAACGTTTTGCCACTTATCTAAAGGGCTAAGCTATCGTACTTTCGTAATCAAAATTCAAATGGAAGTAAGAAAGAAAGAAAAGAAAGAAAAGTATTTATTCGATGCTAGTACAAAATAAAATAACAAATAGATATAACAAAACCAAACAGTAAAGTACATGCACCAAAATGGCATCTGCTCAGTATAAGCCGTGACGGCAGAGAGCACGTCACGACCACTGGTATTTTGCGGATGCCAGTTGAGCAAAAGGGCGCAGCCCGCCCAAGAACAATCGGTCTACAAATAAGTGATTTTAAATTTTAATTTTAAATAAAGTAAATGATATAAGTAAATGAATATCTACCTATTAACCACGAACTTCAGCAAGGAACAAGACTAGCTAAAATCTCATAATATAGTATTAACATTATCAACATATTATAGCACATCAGTGGGCGGAGTCTGTCCGCTGCCAAGTCACGCCTGCGTCCGCGCACCTTGGCCCATTGGCGCTAGTGCCCATTGGAGCTCTTAATGACGGGTTCAATCCGATTGGATTTTTCCCAAAATAACCCTGTAAAGGTGAGTATAGATTAGAGCATTCACATGTAACAGAACAACGAGCCGCTCTATGATATTGTTTTAATGTTATGAACCAAACCAAACGTCTTATAAACGCGCACCGTTTTCACAGCTTCGCTAATATCTTCACATCGCTTATCTTCCTAGCACATCTTTAAAAGTCATAAGTCACATCTTTATACAAGTAAATAAATAAATAAATAAATAAATAAATAAATAAGTGATAGATAAGTGGATAACACCTACACCTTTTCACGGCATCGCTACACATCTTGCTCAGCTAATCTTTCCTAACACATCTCTAACCCCCTCTAATAAGTAATTCACTCGTTGAACACTCCTTTCATCATCATCATCATCATTTCAGCCATAGGACGTCCACTGCTGAACATAGGCGTCCCCCAATGCTTTCCATGTTGATCGATTGGTAGCGGCCTGCGTCCAGCGCTTCCCTGCTACCTTTATGATGTCATCGGTCCACCTTGTGGGTGGACGACCCACGCTGCGTCCCATGCAGAACACTCCATTAGTGACGTTTAATATGGAAATGTCACTATAACTACTGTTCAACGAGTGTCTTTTTATTCGTAAAGGCACGGTAAGGGGTTGAATTCTTCGTAACAAACACTAATGTGAACGCAGCCTAAAGACGGTAATAGTGATTTTGTTTGTGTTTTGAAGCTATTAAAATGTGTGGCTCGTTGAAAATACTTTATGGTTAGCGGTTTATTTTGATTAAAATGTCGGTGATCTCGAATTAAGTAGTTGTTGAATCTCTTCGGCTAGTTAATCGATTTGAGTGTTTTGTATTGCATCATATTATTATAGTAACGCCCGTATTCACAAATGATGCTTGCTTAAGTGAAGCAGCAAATCGAACGCACAGCGTTGAATAGAGCTCTGTGATTGGTTCGTGTTTCACACAGTGCGTCCAAGCGCCCTGTGAGACCTCATACGGGCTCCAATACGGGCGTAAGTCAATTATTTTACTGTCTAAAAACAAATATTAATGTTTTTCTTTCCAATGACAGATGACTATAACGTCACTTACAAGGTTTCGATGCGCGCGCGCATAATACATATTTAAACTGCACGGAACAAAATCAGTTTTTTTCCGAATAACTTTAAAAATACAATTTGAAAAAAAAAGCTATTACTGAACCTATTCACGATGGACTAATTTATCTGCTATAGGTACTCTCAATTTTCTAAACCACGACATTTTGCTGGGTTAATTCAGGGAGGTATATAATAATTTTTCAAAAGCAAAAAAAAAACAAGTAAAATAGTTTCAAAAACATTTTAATTAATTAAAAATGTAACATTTTACAAAAATATATTTACATGTGTAATAATGTAAGTATAGTTTACTAACTTACGACCTATTTAAAACTAAATTCACTTAACTGACATTTACACCCTTTTACTAAGAGAACAAATGTTACTAAAACTATATAAAAAGATTTATTATACACAAAACTAACGCCCGTATCCACAAACATTACTATGAGGTCTCATAGACGCACAGGGTGACACACGAACCAAACACAGAGCTCTATTCAATGCTGTGCGTTCGATTTGCTGCTTCACTTAAGCAACTTTGTGAATACGGACTTAAGTAAAATTAAGCTTTAATGTCATTATAATAAGGGTTAATCTCATTTATCCAGTTTTAGAATACGAAGCGTATTTTAAATGGCAGTCTGACTACCCTCAAAAAAGCGATATAAGCAAATCACTTTGATAAAATAGTGATCAAAGGTCATAGCAGACTTATCAACTCGGAAAGGGATCAACACCGTATCGCCTTTCGCGAGCTGTCATCGCCTTTCGCGAGCTGTCATCGCCTTTCGCGAGCTGTCATCGTCTTACGCGCGCTGTCAACCGCGAGGCGAGGCGTTTACGTTACGGTGCGGATAAGTGTGCGTTACAGTATGGAGTTTCATACAAATAATACTGACCGCCTCGAGTTGATACGGTTACGATTCCTTTCCCGGTTGATGAATGTGCTACTTCCTTAAATTTATTGGAAGGCTACGAATTTTTTAGATCTATTTTATGCATATAAAAAAGCTCAGCTCAGCACTTCCCATACAAATTTCATACAATACAATTGGTAGTAAAAACCATTATGCAAAATTTCCAAGGCACTACTTCTCTGAAATATTTTATTCTAGGCCTGAAACCTCATTAGTTCTTAATCAACTGTAAAATAAGATTTTTGATAACCTTGTCATCAATTAAATTGTTTTTAGTGATTTAATTTTTTCTTATATGGCCATCTTTACCTTGAAATATCTGAGAAACGTTATAGATCGTTTCATCCACTCGGCCGCGCCTCAGCAATGTTTGGTCTCGGTCGCGCGGGGTGCGGGGAGTGTGGTCCGAGCAATCCGTAAGGCATTACTGTAGTGTGCGTGTGCACTCATGGAGCATTTAGCGTGTACCGATAACACTCAAACATTCGCGGAATGGTGGGGCGCGTCTTCGTGGATGGCACTATCTATTAAAATTGGTAGTAAAAACCAATAAGCAACATTTTCAAGGCACAAATTCTCCGAAATATTTTATTCTAGGCCTGAAACCCAATAAGTTCTCAATATAAAAGTAACTAAAGCCTGGTCCGTGAGCACGTAGAATTTTGTCCAATGACCCCAAGCTACCCATCCTTATCGCTCGCGCGTAATTGTGCTCACGGACCAGGCTTTAGTTACTTTTATATTTTTCATATTATTATGGCGATATTTACTTTCAAATATTTTGAGAACGTGACACTTAAGGGTACCATATTATTTGACATTATTTGTTAAAGTTCCTCTATCAATATACCACTTTAATCGCCGCAACTTTAAAAATAAAACAAAATGGCGGGCATGTTCAACCCCCATTAAAGCATTATATGCCTGGAATGAAGTCTTTTTTATAATATTCTAGAATATTTTTAAGGCAATAATAATTGATTTTTAAGTATTTTCAGAGACAATATAGGGTGAAAATAGCCGAGCTGCGGACAAAATAAATGTTCAAGTTAGGACAATAACTCGCGGCTGCGTTTCATTTGGCTCCGGTGGACACCGTCGGGTTTTAGTGGGTAGGCCCCGCCCTTAGTGAGCAAGCGGGGAGAGTCCCACATAACCCACTGGCCGTCCCCATTGATCAGTGAGTATACACAAAGCATTTCTCGACGTAAAAAATGTTAAAAAAAGGCAACATGAACATGTTTCTAAAAAAAAAGAAATTGTTTTGTAGAAGTAGTTAAAAATATTTTCACCCTATATTTAACCGCTTGAGTCCCAGACGGCATTCATTAATGTCATAACAATTGATTATCTATTGTGTCTAGATTTGCGGGCCTTGAAGGATTAAAAGGCAACGGCTGACATTGTAGGCCATACTTGAATTTAATTAAAGTGAAAATTCGATATAATTGTGCGTTGCAAAGTATCCAAAAGTATTTATTTTACAGTATTCTATTTCCAATACAGATATTTAAATATCAGGCATTTATTTATTATTATTTACAAGATATCAAAATTGGTGTTTTACATTTCATTTATACGAGATTACCTTAAAATTGTATATTAATTCTCATCAATTCAAGTTTCAAGACAAATGGATATATGAGTCGTCTAGTTTCAAAACCCGCTAAAACGCTCCTGCAACTAATTTCTGTTTATATCTCTAAATGATGCTACTGCAATTTTCTCATCATACTGTTCAATTATTTTCGATCAAAATACACTAAAAGACTACTTAACTAGCACTTAAAATTCGGTTTGTGTTACAAACTCCGCTAAAACGCCGTCCGTTTCTTTCAAAACCCTCTAAAAGTTGATTGACCAATGGTAGCACGGTATTTTGGTCACGTGACTGCGAAATCAGTATGGAGATTTTTTCATAACGTGCTTGCTTCATAATTTGCTCTTATCAAATCCCGCTAAAATACAACATGTCCGTTTCAAATCCCATTAAAACCGAATGTTCGTAACAAAAGACGCCAAAATGAAAATAGTTTTCATTATAATTCAAATTATATTTAATTTAAAGATAAATAGCAATTACTGTTAGTATTGCCAGATGACAATAATAATTCGTATCATATTTTTTTTTGCCTAAGGCCAAAGCTATATGGATAAGCGGTTTTTTTCAATTTCTCGAAAACTTATCAAAATCGTTTTAGCGGGATTTGAAACTAGACGCCTCATATAAACAAAAATAATAGCACTCAACCGAGTCCGTGCCTGGGTTATGGGAGAGGCACGGGAGGGGTGACATTGACATATTATGACGTGACAGAGCATAAAGTTGACCCACGCTGAACTGTCCCACCAAACTCAATGACAGGGGGGCGCTACCATCGTTCAACTATATGGTTTCCAACATGACAAAAATCGGAACCAGCGATCCGGTATTGTAATGGGGCAGCAAGGTTCTGGAATGGAGGCCACGTACCGGAAAACGCAGCGTGGGACGTCCACCACAAGGTGGACCGACGACCTGATAAAGGTAGCAGGAAGGCGCTGGATGCAGGCCGCTACCAACCGTGCGATGTGGAAGTCATTGGGGGAGGCCTATGTTCAGCAGTGGACGTCCTGTGACTGAAATGATGATGATGATCCGGTATTGACGGTGGCGCCCCGCTGTCAATGTCATGGATAGGACAGTTCAGTATTTTGGAACTATACAAATCTGAAGTCTCACTAACGTTTGACGTCACATAAAAACCCTCCCTCCCCGCTTCCATACCCCAGGCACTGACCCAGTTAAGCGATGAGTATAATGTCAAATACCCATTTTAATCCATTTTCTTTTAAGTAGACAATTATTTTAGTTATTTGAGGCACAGTTGCAAAAATATGACCGATTTTGTATCAATTATTAAGTAATTATTTAGTCCAATTTTCATGTTGATTAAACCAACTGTCATTTTGATCCACAGACAAGTAATACCAAATGTCCGAATGACTTGAAAAGCGCTTTTAAAAAGTGACTTTTTACATAAAATTCAGCCAATAGACCAAATGAAAAACTGGACTATAACTTAAATCTACATTTGTATTTCTATCTCTTTAATACTTCAAGGATTAGAGAAGGATAGCACCTTCATAATCCAATATGGCTGTAAGTATTTTTTTACAGGAGAGGTTTTAATTATTTTCGACTTTAACATATGTTTATGGTTCAAAATTGTATTGTGGCGATCATTCGCACTGTCCATGGTAATAGAAACTGACAATTTCTTAAATTGACATAGAACTTTACACAGGTATGTCGTAAGAGGCGACTAAGGGACAAATATACGAACATCAGGCGGACAAATCCTCCATTTGCCTCTGGTAAATTATAAAGGGGGTCTTATCACGAAGTGGAAACAGGACTTCGTTCGTTTCAGCCGAAAGACGTCCACTGCTGGACAAAGGCCTCCCAAGGATTTCCACAACGCCCGGCAAGCGTAAGGTCGTGGGTTCGATTTTTTTAAGTTATTTAAAAATTTAGGTTTATACAGAAGAAGACAGTTCCCGGTGTCAATGTTAATCCTGGATTTAACCTGATGGATGGATCAGGCCGAAGGTGGAAGCGAGCTTCACTCAGTATCCTCAATCACAGAGGAACTGGCTATCTTACCTCTAACTGCAGGAACACAACAATGCTGTTAACATTGTTGATATGGCGACAGACTTAGGTAAGATGGTGGTAGCTAGCCACGCGGACTTAGAACAAGCCCTACCACCAACCAAACCGAACAGAAAAATCTGCCCCCACTGGGAAACGAACCCGGGACCTCTGCGTCTGAAGCAGGTGGTCTTACCACTAGACCACAGAGGCGGTTATTGGGCATATTTAGCTACAACGGGGAAACCCTTTGCCTGGATCTAACCTGATGGTAAGTGACGATCAGGCCGAAGGTGGAAGCGAGCTTCACTCGGTATCCTCAACCACAGAGGAACTGGCTATCTTACCTCATCATCATCATCAACAACAGCCCTTTACAGTCCACTACTGGACTATGAGCCTCCTCCACTATAGTGGAGGGTTTTGCCATAATCCCCACGCTTGGCAGGCGGGTTGGAGATCGCAGTTTAAAAGATTGATGTTTTTTTTTTTAGAGAGCGCTGCTGCCCGTTCTCTGTTTGATGTGTAGTCCCTAAGTCGCCTCTTACGACACCCACGGGAAGAGTAGGGGTTGGTGACAAATGTATTCTACTCTGCCGTCACCATACGGCATCTACTCTGGTATAAATCTTTCGCCTTTTTTATCTTACCTCCAACTCCCAAAAACATAAGAAATCGCCAGTTTCTATTGACGCGGACTATTAAAGTTGAAGATACAATGTTAAGTGTGAGTCGGTTATGTCTTTTTGTTATGTACCTACAAACTACGTGCTATATATTCACTATTTACTAGTATCACTTGATATGAGCTTCGTTCGTCACGCGTTTCCGAGGAGTTCACTGCAAAAAAAAATCATTTTTAAAGTTATTTACAATTTTATCTTATTTTAGGGTGATATCGCCTGTTCGCGTCCAAGTGACGGATTACTCTTTAAAAAAGGGAAAAAACATATTTAGCAACACTGTAACTTTATTTTATTTTAGGGTGATGTCGCCTGTGGGTCTAGACAAAGTGCAAATTATAATCGCAAACCAGTCGAAAAGCCTCTTTTTTGTATGGGGTTTTGACGGATTCGATTTTCGATTCGATCAAAAAGTGCGTTTTGTCTAGGGGGCCTGTTCGCGTCCAAGTGACAGATTACTGTTAAAAATAGTAGAAAAAATTCATACCAAATGGAAAGCCTCCTCTGAATGCTTAAATGTAAAATAGGTGACACTCCTAATTAATTTCATTTTTTTAAGAGTGATCCGTCGTTTGGTAATAAATAATAGCAATATAGTTAACTGTGAATGAATTATTTAAGTATGATATACTTCTGCATCCCAAAAGTTGGGATATGAGGAGATACTAAAAAACTGTACCAAATACTGTATGTAAACTCATGTTCGCAATTAAAAAAAGGTTGGATTTGGACGCATACAGGTGACATATAACACAGAAAAAAATCAGAAGAACAGTGTCTCTAGGTCTTGTGCTTTATCACACTAATATTCTAAAGGCGAAAGTTTTTGAGTGTGTATGTTTGTTACTGCTTCACGTCTAAACGGCGGGAGCGATTTTAGTAAAATTTGGTATGGAGTTAGCTGACACCCTGGATTAACACATAGGCTACGTTTTACTGCGGGTAACACCGCGGGGCACAGCTAGTCCTTACATAAAAAATATATCAACTTACTTCGTTAGTTCCCTCGCGGTCATAGGACCGGTGAGTCCGGACCGGGAGCGGGACCGACTCAGCTGTGCTCTTCTTTCAGCTATAAATAAATAAATAAAGTTTAATACTAGGTAATGAATGCATAAAAAACATGCGAAAGATATGAGAACGAACTGCTATAAAAAATATAACATACTATAATATGCATTTCCTAAACATTTATGCCGATGCATAATAAATTCATATTTTTTAACAGATTTTACAGTTCCATTTACATTTTAATACAAAAAATAAGATACAGGGTGGGCCAAATTTTTTTGCAAATAGGAACGCTTGATATCTCTTAATAAAAAAAAACACATTGAAGCGCTCCATAGTGACTAAAAATTCAAGATTTTTTTTTTATAACTCTCCCATCTTCCACGCGTTAATGCCTCGAAACGTTTTTTGAGAAATCAAGCGTTGCTACTTGCAAAGATTTTTGGCACACCCTGTACATTGTACATATTTCAAACTTGACAGATAAGCAAAGCATTGTTCAAAATAGCTTTTGCCTAACTAAATGCCAGAAAGACTACAAAAAATACGAACGAGACAACATCAAAAGCATATTAATTTAAATAAGATAAAACTTAACTTTGATTAGATAATATTAAAAATAAAATAAGTACAAAAATACAAAAAAGTTTGGTTAAACCTTTTAGTTAATATTGTGTCGATTATTCTATAGAAAACTACATTATCATAGGTTTAAATAAAGACATTATATCATTAATGTATTTAGTATAATATGCATTTATTTATTGCAATATACTACAGTGGAAGACTGTCAAATAACGTCGTTCGTTGACCTTTAAAAAGAAAGTTGCAATATTGAACCTTATTGTCGTTATCTTAAGGTCCACAAACTAAAACTTTTCACGTGTTTATCTTTGCTAAGGTTTATTACTATGAACATTATTGCCCTTAACTTAAGGTCCAAAAACTACAACGAATTTTCACGTGCTTATCTTGGCTACAGGTTAATTTAATGGTGAACATTACTACCCTCTCTTAAGTTCCACAATCGCACGATAAAATTTGAACGTGCTTATCCTGATGAAAGGTTAAATTAATTTGAACCTTACTGCCATTTCTTAAGGTCCAAAATCAAACAAAAAATAAATGTTAATAGTTAAACATATAAAGCTAGGACCATTATGTTTGTATGACTTGTCTGTAGTTCCCCGGCTGTGGTGACGTGTCTCTCACTCGGCGCACGCGCCGGCCGCATTGCATTTTCGACTCTGTTTCCATTTACATTGGGGTTCATTTACCGTGCACACAGGTTCAAATACACTTATATGTAAAATATAAAATTGAGGCGATAGGCAAGAGTGGCATAACTCAATTTTTAAAATATTAATCTCGAGGGTTTTGAAAAATTTGTAATTTTTAATAAACATTCGACAAAGTTAGACCACTCTGTTCCACCAATTCCTTCAATTTATTCTATATAACAACTTAAAAATATGATAACTTAGAAATGTGCCTGTAAGTACAAAAAAATCTAAAAAAGCGAATGGAATACGTGATTCTGCTAAAATAAAGTAAAAACTGTGCGACGTCTAAAAATAAACGTTTTTTAGGTCGATGTTTGTCAGACTCAATAAGTTAAGAATCGAAATATTTTTTCTCTTTCCCTCTCCATACTTCACTCTCTCTCTCCCTCTTTTTCTGTAGTAAAAATGAATATCTGAATCGTTAACTATTTTTTAATGACTGCAGGGTTACTCTGAATAACGTTATTTGTAGTGATGGGCCGACTAGTCGCCGACTAGTCGGGAAAGCCGACTATTCGGCATCATTTGTAGTCGGCCGACTAGTGACGACTATTCGGCAAAATATGCCGATTATAATCGGCACATAAGAAATGAAATAAAACAAATGTGTTAAATAAATAAAACTCATAATCACCAAGATGATTGACCAAGGACGTGTTCCAACCACTTTTGAATTTCCAGGAAATCATCAAAAATATACGTGTGAAGTGTAACATTTAGGTACGTCATTTGTCCATACAAAAATGATGTCAGGTTTTTTTTTTCGGGGAAAATATGCATGGAATTGCATATCTACCTTGCGGGGATAGGGTAAGTAATGTGGGGCTCCTCTTACCGAAAGGATAAGGCAAACTACATACTACCCACTAAAATAATCCCTGTGCTCCGTCGATCGCCTTAGTGCGGGAAACCAGACGCAGGTTAGCGTCGCAGGTTAGCGCACCATCCCTAGATTGTCGACATTCCACTAGCTCGCACTAAGCGTTTTGGTAACTCTTTTATAATGCGAACAACTGGAATGCGATGGAATGCAAAAAAACTATGGGAATCCGGACAAAGCTGTACCCCCAGTGAAAAGGGATCTAACTCGACTTAGATCAAAATTGACTTTATAACATAATGTGAATCTCTGAAAAATTAGCTATTTTTGTATCTAATCGGTATGTTTCTACGACGTATAGAAAAGAAAATAATTTTGTGCCAAATGATACAAGTAAGGCTTTGTGAACCAATTTTGAGTTTTCTTTCGTGTATATTGATACATGTCTACTTTTAACAAAGTGTACCGGAGGCTTCTTTCAATTTTTTATTGTGTCAAGAGGTACGACTCGTGTTACTACTTTTTACACGATTGAAGTTGTTCAGATTGAATTTGTGATTAACAATATAAGATGACTCATATTAATATACACAAAAAAAACTATGTATTGTTGGTTGGTGAAAAAGAATGTAACTTAAAAATAATTAGAATCCACTCTAAAATTCTAGCCTTATTCCTTTACAATCGCCACTTATATCACTTTACACATAATTATTAGGATACTTAGATCGCTATTATGTTAGTTAGATCAGTTTACACATTTTTTTTCTCATCACAAAATTGGTGTATATTGATATAAGTAGAAATTTTTGGACGATTTACCCTAAATAACCTGAAATAATGATTCCTCATAGTGTAATTACTAATGTTTGTTTTACAACTTTTTCTAAAATTAAAGAAACAAAAAAATATCAACAGAAATGGCGTAAAATGTATCACTTTACACTTGTTAGCGGGTGGTCAATTCAGTGTGGTGTAAAATGATTTATGTCCCATTACATCACTTTACACGAATGTAAAGTTGCCGTGCATGGCGATATAACTGGGTTTTTATTTAATTACGAAAAAACTACATGCTATATTTCCCAAACTGGCACACTGCCTAATTATATTTAACATTACCTTTCACCTAAAAAATATTTCACCAAGTTATCTCTAATAGCGACGAAGCAGGATTTTTTTTAACTTCAAATGCGATTTCCCAAAAATCACCATTTTCGACTTAACTCCGTTTTCACTGGGGGTACAGAAAGGCATCAACTAACACAGTCTCCCCCGGCATTGCTCGCCTGCATAGCGGGCTCTGCCTATTCCGACGGTGGTGGTAATGCAGGCGGGGGTGCCCCACGCCCTCAGCTCGCTGACCATCACCGTGGAGTATCAGTAGGCGATCATTGTCATTCCTCTGACCCTTCCTGCGTCGAAAATGATGACATCTACCTTAGGTACTGCAATATATTATTTTCTCATATTTTTAAGAAATCTTATTTTTTAAGAAGTTTTTTCAAGTAATCTCGATATCTTTATTTCTTTAATAAATCTAGATATTATTATTTCTTTAAGAAATGTAGATATTAATCTTCCGACAACTAGGTATTAGAATGATCGGCATTGCCGATTAGTCGGCCGACTAGTCGGCAATTTGAAAACCGATTAGTCGGCTAGTCGGTTAGTCGGCAAAGACCATAGTCGGCCCATCACTAGTTATTTGAAATTTTGGATGGTACGCAAAGAGAGAGCCAGCATGAGCAACGGCGACAGATAGACCCGAAACTACGTAAACAGAGTATCGGAGTAGCCCTACTGTCGTTATTTCCGTATACAAGCATTTTGTTTGTATGAGGGCTACCGTAATTACGCACAAACTGGCGCCACTGTCTTAGCCATAAACGAGTGGCATTATTACTTCAAATCAAATTCTTCTGGATTTGCGTAATTTCAGATACATAAAGGGTCTTATAGAGGTTTACATAAAGCCATAACGAAAAAAAACTACCAACGTAGAGAGCGAGAGGGAACACTTTTCTCATCTCATCGTGTCTGACACGCGACATTGCTACGTGTGCGTACCTTCAATACGGTGCAGTATCGCATGAACCAACCCCTCCTCGTCACTCAAATCCTCTAGTGGTGCGTGAAATGTTGACATTTGATGTGAATCGTGGTTATAAGGTGGTTGGGGATCATTTACAATGAGCACAATCAATCAATTTAATATAAAAACCACAGTTTTTGGTCACTCAAAAATTTACTACTAAAATGGAATTACAAAATTATTGTTCTTTTATACTTCAAAAGCGTACTAGCTTTGAAGGAACCGAAAACGGGGTGTGTTACCCTATATTGTAATATTTTACTTATTTAGTTGATTTCATTATTATGTGAAAAATCACAATTTAATAACATTATTTCTTAATCCTTTTTCACTTTCTGTTAGGGATAAAAAGATAAAAACAGTATTTTAAAGTTCGTATGAACGGAATATTATGTTAACATTACATTATGTGCGCTCAGTGTAATTTTGACCCAAAAATGTTATTTCAAAATGAAATAATGGTTTTATGAATGCAGAAAAATGATTTTTACACCCGTACACAAATGATGCTTGCTTAAGTGAAGCAGCAACGCTATACGAAGTCGAACGCACAGGGTTGAATAGAGCTCTGTGATTGGTTCGTGTGTGTCACCCTGCCACTCAAGCATTGTCTATGAATAGGTTTTTGGGACCCTGTGCGTCCACGCGCACTGTGAGACCTCATAGTAATGTTTGTGAATACGGGTGTTATGATTAAGATAGATACTCAATGTAACTATTGCAACTGTGAGCATATTTTAAACCGTGAAAGTGAAAACTATTCTAAATTAAAGTATTGCCACGATAGCCGAACGGTGAAGGGGTCGGACTTGCCGACTCAAGAACCGAAGAACGCAAGTTCGAATCCCACCGCCGCTCGACTATTGTGGTGAGCCCACTCGTGACACAAGCATATTTAGCTTATCATGAGGGGCTAACGGGACTATTGGTAATAGGGATGTTTCCTGGGTAAAAAAGCAAGAGTTTTAATTAGTCCGTCAGTTAACTTATCAAAAAATACTCGACATCTATTTTTCACTTTTTCAAACTAATGAAAATGTAAAGAGATACAGCGCGCCAAAGTTCAAAAGAAAAGGCCCGTGACGTCAATGAGTGCTTAAAATTGCAGCACTTTGTGACGTCGCGCGGAACTTCAATGCACCATAACTTTGTAATGACAATTAAAAATATAGGTACGTGTCCAATATTTTTTTATATTAAAATTTACGGACTAAAAAATTTTTTTTAGGAAACTAACCTATTTTGGGCAATACAAATTAGTTTTACAATAACGTTCTCACCTCCAGCTACCCTCGGGTTTGCTTTCTTCCTCGGCCGTTCTCTGCTAAACGCAGATCCGCTCTGTAGCGCTTCCATCAAACTGTAAAAAATAATTTATTATTAAGAGCGTTTACGCGAAGCGCGGCGTTTCAAGGGGCATCATTGGAAATGATTCGCGCGCGGCGTTTTTTAATAGTTTTCAAATGTTTATAGCAAAACAATAACAATGAATTAAATATCGTTTCAAAGTAAATATTTTAAAGAAGATGTTGTTTTATTATATTAAGCTATTTTTATGTTGAATAAAGGAAGAATATTGGTGAAAAAATCACTTTGATTTTTGGGTATTTCACGTTCTTTTAATTTGTGATTTCTTATTGTAAAATGCTTAAATCTAAAAATTTTCTCAGATAACTATTTGCCCAAGGATCTATGCTATAGGATATAGATGTTTGTTAAATCGTTTTCACAGTATTTTTATAAAAATTTCAGCTTTTAAACTGACGCTAAAGTGGAAATTTACAAAACCTGTGTGGACTTATCTTGATAGAATTCTTAAATACTAAACTAATCGCAATATTTTCTCAATTAACTATTTAGACGACAAAATTGCCTAACTATTTATGCCTATAACATATTTGTAGTATTACTGGTTAATGATTGTAACGAGTTGAAAAAGTACTGTTTTTGCGCCAAACGGCGTAAACGCTCTTAAATTTATGTCGAAAAATGTGTTTAACAAAGGTTTTATTCTAAATACAGATTACAGGATAACCCCCCCTCGATGTGACGAAACGAGTCAACTATTGTGACTCGTCTCGTCACGTCATGTCGCGTCGTGTCGCGTAGTTTCGTAGTAGGTAGCCTCACGTCATGTAGCGTCGTGTACCGTCACGTCATGTAATATCACGTCTTATGTTGCGTTGTCTATAGCGCCATGTATGCATGCATCCTTTAGCGTCATATAGCGTCCTGTAGCGTTCGATAGCATTCTGTAACGTTACGTAGCGTCTTGTCGCGTCGCGTCATGTAGCAACTCGTCGTGTAGCGTCATGTAGCGTGGCGTCGCATCCTGTAGCGTTGCAAACTGGCATCGCGTCGCGTTGTGTATCGTCGTGTAGCGTCCTATAGCGTCATATAGCGTAGCGTCGCGTCTTATCGCATTGTGACATGTAGCGACTCATCGCCAGTCGTCGCGTTGTGTAGCGTAGTGTCACATCGCGTAGCGTCGCGACGCTCACCTAGGTAAATGCACTAACCTGTCCATAACACCCTCTTGCGCTTGATCCATATCCACAAACTGCTTGTACCGGTGCTGTCTGTCGCGCCTCTCTCTTTCTCTCTCTCCCTTATAGTAGCGTCCTATAGCGTCATGTAGCGTTATGTAGCGTCCTGTATCGTCGCGTCGCGTATTGTAGCGTTACGTTTTGTATAGCGTTGTCACGTTTTGTGTAGCGTCCTATAGCGTCGCGTCGTATCGCGTGATGAATCATTGTGTATCGTGGTGTAGCGTCTTTAACTAACCTGTCCATAACACCCTCTTGCGCTTGGTCCATATCCACAAACTGCTTGTACCGGTGCTGTCTGTCGCGCCTCTCTCTCTCTCTCTTGCTTCACATGTTGCTACCGAATTAGAACCTTATCCCCTTATAGTAGCGTCCTATAGCGTCATGTAGCGTCCTGTAGCGTTCTGTAGCGTCGCGTCATGTAACGTAGCGTCACCTAGCTTCGTGTAGCGTCATGTAGCGTCTACTAACCTGTCCATAACGCCCTCTTGCGCTTGATCCATATCCACAAACTGCTTGTATCTGTGCTGTCTGTCGCGCCTCTCTCTTTCTCTCGCGACATGTAGCGTCACGTTTTGTAGCGTCGCGTCGCGTCTTGTCGCATTGTGTCATAAAGCATCGTGTAGCATTGTGTCTTGTTGCGTTGTCTAGCGCCATGTAGCGTCACGTTTTGTAGCGTTGTGTCGCGTCATGTAGCGTCGTGTCGCGTAGCGTCGCGTCTTGTCGCATTGTGTCATGTAGCATCTTATCGCGTTGTGTAGCGTAGTGTCGCATTATGTAGCGTCGCGTAGCGTCTACTAACCTGTCCATAACACCCTCTTGCGCCTGGTCCATATCCACAAACTGCTTGTACCGGTGCTGTCTGTCGCGCCTCTCTCTTTCTCTCTCGCTTCACATGTTGCTACCGTAATTTGAACCTTATCCCCTTATAGTAGCGTCCTGTAGCGTAGCGTCGCGTCTTGTCGCATTGTGTCATATAGCGTCTTGTCGCGTGGCGTCGCTTTAATTAGCGTCACGTTACGTCATGTAGCGTAGCGTCACATTATGTAGCGTCATGTCGCGTAGCGTCGCGTTACGTCATGTAGCGTCGTGTCGCGTAGCGTCGCGTTATGTAGCGTCATGTCGCGTCGCATCGCGTAGCGTCACCTAGCTTCGTGTAGCGTCTACTAACCTGTCCATAACGCCCTCTTGCGCTTGGTCCATATCCACAAACTGCTTGTACCGATGCTGTCTGTCGCGCCTCTCCCTTTCAGCCGCGGCGCGCGCCTCGCGTGCCCTGCGCGCGCGTTCTTCCGTTTCCCGGATAAGAACGTTCTCTTGGTGGGCGGTCTGGGGACAACATATTGTAGGTTAAGCAACATACCTAAATATACATAACAAAAAGTTCACTAATCCCCGTTGACGGGGATTGTCAACGGGGAATAGTGGAATAAGCCTTACTGACTAACTGACCGACTGACATAGTCAACATGACAACGCACAGCCCAAACCACTGGACGGATCGGGCTGAAATTTAGCATGCAGGTAGATGTTATGACGTAGGCATCCGCTAAGAAAAGATTTTACGAAACTCCACCCCATCTCTGTTTACTTTCTCTCACTTGTATTTTTCTCACGTTCTTCCTACATCGTTTTTACTACTATACCTTCGCTCGCACTGTCTTTAATCTCCCCCACTCTACAGCGATAAATCTGTTGAGCTGTGTCATGCTCTGTCACGCCTCTCTAGCTTTCTCCCTGCATCTCACCGTAAAAAAGTCATCTATCTCCCTCTGATTCTACCTACATTTCTCTCGCTCTCTGAAGGATAAATAAAGACTTTATGTCTCTCTCTCCTCCAGCATATACCCCTCTCACTCTCACCGTGTCCCTGTGTAGCTAAAAAAGTAAAAATGTTTGTCAAAATGTCAACTCACCGTAAAGGCTTCTCTGAAAGTCTATATCTTCTTCCGTCTCGTTCTGCCGACGTCTCTCTCTCTCTCCCTTTATCTCCCTATCTTTTGTACGTGTCTCTAACTAATATCTTACCGTGAAAGAGTCCTTGAACGTCTTGACATCAGCGAAGAATTCCTCCAAAGCGTACTTCTGAGGGTCAAACACGAAGTACTCTGCTAGTTCCTTGTAAAGTGCCTCCATCTTGCGGCACATGGAATGAAGGAGGTCGCACTGAGAGCGCGCCTCTTTGGCGAATGGCTGGTGTGGTGTTAAGGGAATTTGTGCTTTGTGTTGTGGGGATAAGGTTAGTCTAATATAATGGGTTGGGACGAGTTTGAGACCTATTTATTTTATTTATTAGGACAACCAACAAGACAAACAGGCATACATGGAATTACTATAACTAAAATTGCTTAGAACTAAGTGTTGTCTTAATTAAAGGTCTGTTGTCCCTTTTATTTAGAGCAAAGACTTCTAAATTATACTAAAATGCATGCAAACAGATTTGCCGCTACGTCCACGTAGATACTACTTTTTAAAATTCAGGCGCGGATCCTGGTTTAACGGCTGCTGATAATGATGACATGAGGCCGACAAAAGTGACCGAGTATCTTCCGCCACTTCTCCGCACCAGCCCATATGTTGTCCCGAAGTGGTGGTAGAGCAAGCTATTTTCTTTAAGATTATTTGTAACTAGCTTTCCGCCCGCGGCTTCGCCCGCGTGGAATTTTGTCTGTCACAGAAAAACTATATCGCACGCGTCCCTGTTTCAAAAACCGGGATAAAAACTATCCTATGTTCTTTCCCGGGACTCAAACTATCTCTATGCCAAATTTCATCAAAATCGGTTGCGAGGTTTAAGCGGGAAAGCGTAACAGACAGACAGACAGACAGACAGACAGACAGACAAAGTTACTTTCGCATTTATAATATTAGTTGGGATTTGTATTGGAAAAAATTACTAACAATCGCGTTAGCCCCTCGTAGAGCTAAATAATTATGATTGCGTCACGAGTGAGTTCACCACACGAGTCGGCCAGTCCGACCCCTTCACCATTCGGCCATCGTGGCTTCAAATCGATCTATTGTGGATTAGAATTTGTAAAGGATACAGTCATCTTCTCATGGAACAGGTCGTCCGGACACTGCGGCACCCGTGAGTTATTGAGATCCGTCTCAAGAGCCCTGATGTCATTCTCCATTTTCTTGAGAGATTTCTGGAGATTCTCCATGGAAACGCGCGCCGCTCTGTGGAGAAGAATTCGTTTATTTTATCACAGAATAATAATAAGTACTACGTACAGAAGTTTTACTTCGCGAAGGTATTTAATAAAATGTATGCTCAATGTCATTAATTAATATGGTGTTATTTAGCCTGTCTCAAGAGTCAAGCACCATTTTGTTGACAAACGTCAGTGATCGGCACTGCGCCGAAGCTATAGGGCTGACTTCGGTAAAATGATGTGACGTGAGGTGCCAAACTGCGGAAAATGGCGGAGGAAATACATGATTTAGCACGAATTATCATGAATAATAATATTAACTACTTATTTACCTCTCAGTGTCTTGAGGCAACTTAAAAAAGTACATTCTGTGTTTTTATTATTATTTAGGCAGTTAAATACTGCACAGTATTTAGTACACCATTTTCTTTATTTTCTTCCATCATACACAAGAATACGCGTGCGTGAGTCAATGTTCGCTCGTATGTGAGGCCTTGTCGAATAGTATCCTGTAGGTGGGCCATCGTGCGTGTTTTGTTTTCGATGTGAACTCGCAGAGATGAACAGGCCTGATTTTATTCAAGGTGGACCGACGACATCATAAAGGTAGCAGGAAGGCGCTGGACGCAGGCCGCTACCAACCGGGCAACATGGAAAGCATTGGGGGAGGCCTATTTTCAGCAGTGGACGTCCTATGGCTGAGATGATGATGATGATTCAAGATGCAGAATCAGAAATGAGATCCATAAACGAACTAAAGTCGCTGACATAGCCCGACGGATTAGCAAGCTGAAGTGGCAATGGGCAGGGCACATAGTACGCAGAACTGACGGCCGATGGGGACGCAAGGTTCTGGAGTGGCAACCACGAGCCGGAAGATGTAGTGCGGGCAGGTCTCCCACTAGGTGGACCGACGATCTGGTGAAGGTCGCGGAAGGTGCCTGGATGCGAGCGGCGCAGGACCGGTCTTTGTGGAAATCCTTGGCGGAGGCCTTTGTCCAGCAGTGGACGTCTTTCTGCTGAAACGAACGAATGCGCTATAAGGCAATTATCACACTGCACCGCGATCCGCCGCGGTCCGCGTGGCGACATATAACGCGTTGTCAGTGTGTTGTGCCGCGCGTGTGTTCTATACAAACTGAGGTATAATGATATTTGCTTGCATAATATAATGATTAAATCTGTCGTCCCGCGTACCGCGGCGGAACGCGGTGCAGTGTGATAATCGCCTAACTGCAAACTATACAGACAGAATGACAAATAATATACCTGTCGATGTGTGGCATCTCTTCGGCGAAGGTCAGCGCGTCGGGGAACTTGTTTTCTATCGTCTCTACTAGGTAGTGCAGTAACGTCTGCTTGTTTTCTAGATCTTTCGTTGATGTTAACTGTAAAAATACAATATAAATACATGAAAGTTACATTGGGTTAGTATCCATATAAGTGACGAACGATTAGATGAACTGGTTTCGGTTATATCTTAGATGAAAGACGCGTGGAAAAGAGGAAAGAATAACTTAATTGATTTAGTGTATAGACACAACAAGAGTTGAATCCATTAAGATAAGAGAATTTATTTATTTATTTATTTATCAGAAACATGGTACAGAACATACAGGTGTCAGTAGAAACATGTTTCGTCTTGTCAAGACATGCAAAAATTTTAAGAAGTCAAATCATCTATTTTATTGAGAATTATAAATAATCAATTCATTCATTAAGATCTTAGAGAATCTAACATTAAGTTACATTTATTAAAAATTTAAATAAAGTCAGTTAGCAATAAAAGTGTCAGTGCCAATGCTATTTTTTTTTTGACGTTTGTTAAAGCCAAAGTAAGATACTGCAATCCAGCGAGCGCGCACATCACTACGCACGAAACTACCCCACTTGACTACCATTCCTCTTACCGCGAACATCAAATATTTGTACACGTTATTTCATGTTATAAACGCTGAGTATCGAAGAAACCGAGTTTCAATCACAAATACATCACATCTACACATGCAAAAAAGCTTAATCGAAATATGACATAATATAATATAATAGGCACTTACAGGGCAGATATGTACCATCCTAGACTGCATCCCACTTAACACCAGGTGCGATTGCGGTCAAATACCTGCCTTGGCTAGCATAAAAAAAAAAATATATATATATAAATTTGCGTTACCTTAGTCAAGAAGCTGATCTCGAACCCATACGCGCCAGCGTTGTTGGAGCCGGTGTTCATGTAGTTCCCTAACAGCAGCAGCAGTTCTAAGATCTTGGCGAACTTCTTGCTGGACTTGACCTCCTCGCACGCGGCGGTTCCCGAGACTATGTCCTAGAAATTATAGTAAAACTCATCAAAAACTGATAAAACCACAGCTCACAGAAACTAAAGGGAGACGCGAAAAGGGGGCGGAGCCTGTGTCGCAGCAATATGCCCAAAAACAGAACGCACGCGTATGTAGTGGTGCTGTACGTACAGTCACGGAATGAAAAAGTTCGTCAGTTTTCAAATTGATTCCTTCAACGAATGGCGAGCACGTATTACCTTTTGGAACTATGTTACAGAATAATCTCGAGTTAGAGAAAATAATCTTTAACTGTTCGTCAGTAAAGTTCAAAATTATTCAGATCAAAGTTGTTTGACGATTTAACTTGTTAAGAAGATTATTAATTAATAAACTAAAACCTTCTTGTTGGTTCATTATCTATTAAATAAAAATTAAAAACATTTTGTAACATTGCACTGATGGGATAGAAAAATAAACAAGCAAAACCTTATTCGTTAGCAAACGTCATGTTTATTTAAATGTTAGCAGCACTGTTTCTTGCACCGTTATGTTGGCAGGTTTGACTCTTACAGTACCTCGTGCAAGCGAAAACCGACACTAAGGTGACGAACCTTTTCATTCCGCGACTGTACATTACTTGCAACCTGGTATGCGAACGAATAGCAGCTCTGAATGCTATGTGTGCATGACACACACTCTTCGCGACGTATTGTTTTTATTTTGATTACTTTGTGTGTGTGAATTTCTAATGCGACACTGAGTTTCGAACGCAGCGCATTAGATTGCATCTCTCTAGATCAGGGTTTCCCTTTTTTTTTTTGCCAAGGAACCCTAATTGATTATACTTTTCCTAGCGGAACCCCCGTACTACTCCGCCCGCACGCCCTGCCCCTCCCTTGTGCGTAAACAAGTCGGTGCGAGCGAACAACGTCGGTCACGAAACGTGGGATAATATTTTTTACGGAACCCTTGCGGCCATTCCACGGAACCCCAGGGTTCCGCGGACCACCATTCGGGAACCGCTGCTCTAGATCTCTATGGCAGCAATCGTTTCTGCGTAGTGCTCTCTGAACGCAAGACTTCGCAAGCATGGCGGCAAACTGCTCAGCTTCGACCAACTCTGAGCATTTGTCTTTGAAGGCTGCTAACTTAGAGAACTGAGCGAGAGAGAAAGAAACAGTCTCGCTTCTCACTTCCAGCTGTGTCGCTAACACGCTAGAGAGAGAGAAATACAACTAAGCGGTTTGACCAGACGATGGTCTCGGCTTAGTACTCGCAACTGTTTCGCTCGCACGCTAGCTTAAAGAGAGAGGGAATGAGAGAAAAAAACAGTCTCGCTTCTCGCTCCCAATTGTCCTGCTTGCACTTGGGGGCGCTAGAGAGAGGTAGGAGAGAGGAGATGTGTAAGAGAAAAGTAAGAGAGATGCGAGATGTAGGAGAGTGAAAAAGAGAGAAAGATACGAAGAGAGGACACCACTAATCGGCTTAACTTCAGCTATAGTCTCTGCGTAGTGCTCTCTGAACGCGAGACTTCTCAAGCGCGGCGCCAGACGTTTGATGTCAGCCACGGTAGCGGCAAACTGCTCAGCTTCGACCAGCTCGGAGCATTTGTCTTTGAAGGCTGCTAGCTTAAAGGGAGAGAGAGCGAGAAAGAGATTCCGGCTTCTCACTCACACTAGGGGCACTTTAAAGTGAGAGATAAAGAAACAGTCTCGCTCCCAGCTGTTTTGCTCGCACTCGAGACGTTAGAAAGAGACGGCTTGCTCGCAGTTGTCCTTCTTACACTAGAAATGCTACAGAGGTAAGAGAGGGGTAGGAGAGATCCAAGAGAGGGGTAGAAGAGATCCAAGAGAGGGGTAGGAGAGATCCAAGAGAAGGGTAGGAGAGATCCAGGAGAGGGCTAAGAGAGATCTAAGAGAGGAATAGGAGATATTTAGGAGAGGGGTAAGAAAGATCTAAGAGAAGGATAGAAGAGATTTAGAATAGGCGTAGGAGAGAAAAAGAGAGCGTCTTACTGGCTTAACTTCGGCGATGGTTTCTGCGTAGTGCTCTCTGAACGCAAGACTTCGTAACCGCGGCGCCAGACGTTTGATGTCAGCTACTGTAGCGGCAAACTGCTCAGCTTCGACTAACTCTGAGCATTTGTTTTTGAGTTCCGCCCGTATAGAGATAAAGACACAGTCCAGCTTCTCACTCGCACCTGTCCTGCTCGCACTAGGGGCGCTAGAGAGAGGAGGGAGCGGGAAAGACAATGTGACGACTGGCGACTGACCTGCTTGATCTAGTTCTAGGATAAGTACACTAGGCGATAGAGAGAGACAGTAAGAAGAAGGGTAAAGATGCGCGCTCGCAGCTGTCTCGCTCGCACTTTGAGCGCTCTAAAGACACAAAGAGTTTAGATGCCCGCACGCAGCTGTCCTACTCGCACTCCAGGTGCTAGAGAGAGATAGAAAGAGACGAAGAGAGGCGACTTACCGGCTTAACTTCAGCAATAGTTTCTGCGTAGTGCTCTCGGAACGCGAGACTTCGTAACCGCGGCGCCAGACGTTTGATATCAGCTACTGTAGCGGCAAACTGCTCAGCTTCGACCAGCTCGGAGCATTTGTCTTTAAGCTCTGCCAGTTTCTTCATTTGGTCCGCTGGGGGGAGGTACTGTGGACAAATATATTTATTTATTTAATGAAGATTTACTGACAACGCCATTCTTCATCATCATCATCATCATCAACAGCCCTTTACAGTCCACTGCTGGACTATGAGCCTCCTCCACTACAGTGGAGGGTTTTGCCATATACCTCACGCTTGGCAGGCGGGTTGGAGATCGCAGTTTATAAGATTGATGTTTGTCAGAGAGCGCTGCTGCCCGTTCTCTGTTTGATGTGTAGTCCCTAAGTCGCCTCTTACGACACCCGCGGGAAGAGTAGGGGTTGGTGACAAATGTATTCTACTCTGCCGTCACCACACGGCCATTCTTATGACGGAGTATTGGGCTGACGCTGTGTAGGTTTGTTGTCGACACGACAAGAAGAAGACGACTGAAGATTTAAGTTCTCATCATCATCATCATCTCAGCCATAGGACGTCCACTGCTGAACATAGGCCTCCCCCAATGCTTTCCATGTTGCCCGGTTGGTAGCGGCCTGCGTCCATCGCCTTCCTGCTACCTTTACGATGTCGTCGGTCCACTTTGGACGTCCCACGCTACGTTTTTCGGTACGCGGCCTCCACATTTAAGTTTTACATTATAGTGTAACAATAATTAGAGTTCCTAAGTCGATTTGAAATCGACTATCATTAAGTTACTAATCGATTATAATCGATTTTCAGTTATTACTCGATTTCTCTATCGATTATGATCGATTCTCCTTAGTTACTAATCGATTATCACAAAGCTACTAGTCGATAAATGATTAATCGATTCTTCCACAATATTGATTTAATCGATTCATATAGTTACTAATCGATTTCTCAATCGATTATAATCGATTTTCAGTTACTAATCGATTTCTAAATCGATTTTCAGTTACTCGTTAATTGTCACAAAGCTACCTAATCGACTTTCTCTCTATCGAATATCAATCGATTACTAATCTAATCGATGATCGTCTATTGCCTTACCTGCACGAGTAAATCCAAAACGTCAGCCGTCAGCACAGTATTGTCGCACTGCAACACAGCTGTTCTTATACGCTCGTAGGGCAGATGCTTCAAGGAACCACCCAGCAAGATGGACAGATTCTGAGCCGCCTTGCTGTCCAGGACCTTCAGGTCTTTCACCTTCTTGAGAGTGTGGACCCTGTGTCAGTTGAGATAGGAACGTATAAATGTAGTGGTAAGTAAGTCTGGGCGCAGACCACCGATTTTTATTTGGCCGATTAACTATCCTAACTGGCCCGATTCTAAGTTTAGGGCGATACCAAATCGATGTAATGTGCGCACTTTCATAAATCACCATATTGATTAACAACCCGGCCCAACTATCGGCGAACTAAAAGTCGGTGATCTGCGCCTTGACTAAAGGTGAATGTGGACTATAACTAGATAATTAATTTGTAACAGATAAAGCCTGGTCTGTGAGCGCCCGTCGCACAGCCGCGACAGCAATATAATTACGCGCAAGCGATAAGGATGGGTAGCTTGGGGTCATTGGACAAAATTCTACGTGCTCGCAGACCAGACTATTTGTAAGTCGTTTATTTCGCATATTCCAAATCAGTCATACCAAAAAGTAACACTGTTACTTGTTTAGGAAAAAAATCCCATCAATTCACATTGTTACTCGTTACGGACATTTGTTTACCTATCTTTCTATCCAGTCACACTGTAACCCGTATTTTCTGAGAGTACATACACTCTATGATACTTAATTATTTTGTACATTGTTTCCTTTTAACGAAATCTCTTTGAATTTGATTGAAGGTGCTTAATATGTCAAATTGTCAACCGTTGAGATGATGGAATAGGCAGGACAAATCTTGATGGGTTTTTTTTTTCCCAACGAGTAACAAGCGATTTATTGTCTGCAAATAGGCTTTTAAAAAGCGCTTTTACTGGTCCCAGTATTCCAAATCGTCTTCATCAGTCTCAATTAGAAGTTCAATATTAGATAACTTTGAGATAAAATTGCTAAAGTCGGGGAAATCCATAGAATAGTTTTTATCCCGGCTATCGGAAGAGGTACGCGCGAAAATAATCTTTATGTGTCAGACCTATCGCATTAAACACAGGGCGGGGCCCCTTGCAAAACCAAGTAACTTTATAACTTACTTATCAACAGCATCTTCGTTCTTCTTGGCCACTGGTTTACTTGAGAATTTTAACGCTAGCCCAGAGAGTATGTCCGGCGAAGCAAGTTTATCCTCTTGCACCTAATTAACAATAAATTAGAAAACAATTGTTAAATCTATTGGGTATTTGACATCATTTATCAATTATTCCATAGTATTTTTCTAAAAGAACGCATCATTTTGTTATTAAAAACTAAAGTATTTTTAATTAATGTGACACTTTTAGATGCATTAATATTGTTAAAAAGTTACGTCATCAAAATATTGACGTCATCGAGCTTATTGCTATCGTTTTTTTTTATCCACAACGAGGAAGCTTTTGTCAAAGTTTGGAGGAAGTAAAAGGATTCTGAAATGTCAAGTTGCAAAAATCTGAATCCAGTATTGATAGTAGCGCCCTCCTGTTTTCGTCACAAATATGTTTGTCCAACGTGACAAAAATCGGAAATAATAATCTAAAGTTCGGTCGCCGAGCAGACCGAATTTCGTCCAATAACCCCAAGCTCACACACCCGCTGCGGCCGCCCGTCGCGGCAGCAATATAATTACGTGCGAGTGATAAGGATGGGTAGCTTGGGGTCATTGGACGAAATTTTATCTGTTCGGCGAACGGACTTTAGTACTGATAGTAGCGCTCTTCTGACAATGACAATAGCTGGAACGGTTCAGAGTAATTAAATCAAAAGAAAATGTAACTCACGTTGACCCAAAAAGCCTTTTCCGACATCTTCTGAGGCACTATGGTCTTCCAGTTGGCCCTCTTGAGAGGTCCCTCGACCTCCCACTTCTTTTTGGGCTTTAGCCCGTATGGCAGCACGTCTGGTTGGGGCTGCAACAAATTGATGATATTATTTCTAGTTATATACCTTTTTCAAGTGAGCAGATGCGCCTGTTACTACAACTTTTAGTATTTGAGTAGATACGCTGCTTTCGGACGTCTAGGAACACTGGGACATTATACAGGGTGTTAGGTAAATGAGTATATGAGCTGACACTAGCCCATGTAAACATGGGCATATAAATGGTATGGTGAAGTCAGAAAATTAAAACCTTCATTTTAATTACTATAATTTTCATACAAATCGGATTTTATAAAATTTATTTTGTATGAAAATTAAAAAAAATCAAATGATGATATCAAATTTCTGACTTCACCATACCATTTATATGGCCATGTTAACATGGGCTAGTGTCGGCTTATATACCCATTTACCTAACACCCTGTATACATTGTATAATTATGGGAAAATTCTTACATATTTAAGAAACTATTCCTACTGCTGCAACTTCTGTATAGCCAGGATCTACAATCTACATAGTCTAACCAACCAGTGAAGGCCAAAATGCCAAGTTTGTTCCTAAAGAAAGTTAAACTGTCATTAGACGTGCAACTAATCACTCAATATTAATCAGAAGAATTGAGGTGTTCGGATTAAGGATTCACTACTCTCCAATGCATGTCAATATGCATTGGAGATAATCTGCAGGTAGCAGCTAGCACATAAGAAATGCATAAAATAACAATTCCATACTTAATGTCAATTTAAACAAGTGTTCAACGCACGTTTCATAATAATTACTAACAAGGCTTTTTAAAATAAGAGGTGGAATTGTGTAAAGCAATCGTAATCATTTGACAGTTCATAACGTACGATTATTCTGTCAAACGCTTTATTTAACTGACTTTATCTTACGTTATGAACTGTCAAATGATTACGATTGCTTTACACAATTCCACCTCAGGCCTTAGTTTCAGCTAAATGATGTCCGCTGCTGAACCGATGAGGCCTTTGTCTAGCAGTGGACTTTCTTCAGCTGAAACTAACTAACGAACAAACAACTTACCATCCTCGGCATCGCCGGGCCGCCCATCATCGGCGGCGGCGGCGGTCGCGGCCCGCCCATCATGGGGGGCGGCGGCGGCGGCGGCGGGCCGCAACCCGGCGGCGGTGGGGGCGGCGGCGGCCCGCCGGGCATGGGAGGCGGCGGCGGCGGCGGCGGGCCTCCGCCTGCTACAGAATGGCGTGTGGCATTAATGGTGCGTCCAGAATGGGCAAACGGGCTAGCGCGGCACGCTGGTCATCCTGTTCACCCTGCTCTTGAGTGAGCAGGATGTCGAGTTTGCCGCGCGAGCACGTTTGCCCAGTCTGGACGCACCATAAGTATTTTCTTATTTTACATGAAGGTATAAAACAAAGCCACTACGCTCTGTCTGTCCCTATGTACGCTTAGATCTTTTAAACTGTGCAACGGATTTTGATGCGGTTTTTATAATAGATAGAATGATTCAAGAGGAAGGTTTTTAAATATAGTAAATGGGGATGTTGCCTGGGTCAAAAAGCAAGAGTTTTAATTAGTCCGTCAGTTAACTTATCAAAAAATACTCTACACGTATTTTTCACTTTTTCAAACTAATAAAAATTTAAAGAGATAAAGCGCCCCAAAGTTCATAAGAAGAGGCCCGTGACGTCAACGCTTGCTTAAAAATGCCGCACGTTGTGACGTCGTGCGCAACTTCAACGCACCATAACTATGTAATTATTTGTTAGATTGACAACAAATAAAAATATATGTGTCCAATATTTTTTGATATTAAACATTACGGACTAAAAAAATTTTTTTAGGCAACTAGCCTATTGTACCTGTGCGAAGCAGGGGCGGATCGCTAGTCATTCAATAAAATAATCAACATGCGAGCGAATTGATAGACCTCCTAATTTTTTAAGTCGGATGAAAAAGGAAATAAATAGAAAAATGATACAAAATGATATTTATAACCAAAAAAACCGTGATAATTGCACATGCAATAAGCAATAATTTTTAAATCAGTCAATAATAGCTACAATCGACAGTCAAAGTCGCACCTATCACAAGTACAGACGGCGGCAAGTCAAGCTAAATACTGTGGGATCTTATGCGGTAGTAATGAAGGCGAGTTCTCAACAAAAATATACAGTCTAATGTGCTGTCGTCTGTACATAGTCTTTCCCACGGGGACCTCCCGTTTTTTGCGGGTACAGTCTTGCAATATCCCGTTTAATAACGTGTTTAAAATACTGAACATTCACACAAGCATCCTGTTTGCAGTATCCCGCAAAAACCGATTCCTTCGACTTACTTTCGGTTCGGTTATGTCATTTTGTTGGACCAGTCCAAAACAGGATACAGTTTGATTATAAATAGGTAGAGCAGCTGCAAAAATGTTTGCAAACATTCGTACCGCAAAAAACCGGGCTTACAAAATTATTGGGATACTGTCGTGTGAAAACACTGGATTCAGTAGTTCAGGATATAGCAAAACTATATTGTCGTGGGAAATTACTGTGTTAGCAATGAGGGTTTTCGCGAATGAAAAATCCGTCAGATGGCAATACGTAGACGCGAGGTCCAAATGCTGCATGATTGGTTATTTTTGACATGACATTGACAGATATGTCAAAATCCACCAATCACGCAGCAGTCAGACCCCACATCCACGTCCCGCCATCTAGCGGATCTTTCATTCGCGAAAACCCTCGATGTGCTGTGGTCTGTAGTTCTGTAGGTACATAAATCAAACCTACCTGATGGCATCGGAGGCGGCGGCGGCGGAGGCGGGCCTCCTACACGAAAGAGATAGATATAGTGAGCATGCGTACGTGCGAGTGAGATAGAAGATATAAATGTTAAAACACATGCAGTTTAAAATTTTGTTTGACTGAGATAAATTACCAAGATAGTTTGCGGATGAAAAAAAGTTATTTTATTTAATTTGTTTAAACTGCTCTTACAGATTTTCATGACCCAAAGGTCAACTGGCAGATAATGGTTTTAGTATTAAAGCGTTCTGCGGTCGCGGTCAGATCACAAGAACGCAGCTCGCACCTGTCGATTTGCGTTCTTTCGTGCCCGCACGGTCAAATCGCATCGATACAAAATGTATGAGTATAGAGACCACAGGTCACAGAAACTAAAGGGAGATGTGAAAAAGGGGCGTGGCCGGTGTCGCAGCAATATGCCCAAAAACAGAACACATTGCTCGTGACAGCAATGATGACAGCAGCGACGTCATAATGTAAACAGTTTATATTGCTTGCGTAGTACTAAAGATTATTCGAACGTGGAGTACTGATACCGCAGTGGATAATAAGCACATATTTTGATTACTTTGTGTGTGTGAATTTCTAATGCGACACTGAGTTTCGAACTCAGCGCATTAGTTGGCATCTTTCTAGATCTCCATCATAGAGAACGACAATGTTGTTCACACATGATACGGGCTGCTTTCACTTTGACCGCAGACCGCAGAACGCATTCTGCGTGGCAAATCCTTCAGTCCACACTTTGTATACTATTTAAAATAACAAAAATTATGCCAAGCTTAAAGAAATGGGAGTAATTTAAAAACATGCATACAACCCGTTCGCTTTAAGTTTGCCGCTGGCGATATGACGTCACTCGAAGGGAAGCGTCATTAATTGCGTTGGAAAATTGGAAATAAGACTCATTAATTGCGTTTAATCATTAACTAATTGCGTTAAATCGCGGTTGGGGGAGGGGACGCGCATTCCACGGACCGGCAAACTTAGAACGAACGGGTTTCCTTGTTGTTAACAGATAAGTATAGTTATAGCAAACTCACCTCCGGGCATCGGTGGGGGTGGCGGAGGGGCGGGGCCTCCGGGGCTGCCTATCACCTGTCAAATATTCATATTTTAATATTCCAGACACAAAGCCTATAGATATAGGGTAGACATTCCTTTGTGCAGTTCGAGCAGGATGCAGCAGAAAGACGTTATAAAACCCGGTCTGCGAGCACGTAGAATTTTGTCCAATGACCCCAAGCTACCCATCCTTATCGCTCGCGCGTAATTATATTGCTGTCGCGACTGTGCGACGGGCGCCCGCAGTGAGTGTGCGAGCGCGCAGACAAAATTCTACGTGCTCGCAGACCGGGCTTTAGTAGCCTATTCGACCCTATCTTCTTTTATTCAGCTTTTTTCCCAAAAGTGCGATACAAATATAGCTTCTATTACCTTAGCAATAGCGGCGATATTTCCTTGAGTGACACCACCAGGCCCCGTGGGACTGGCGGCCTGTTTGAGCCTGTCTTCTAGATGTAAGGCTCTTAACAAGAACTCTTATATTACCTCGAAAAAGCAGCTACATTCCGTGACGCTGTTTCAAGTAATCTGATACACTAATATAGCTTCTATTACCTTAGCAATAGCGGCGATATTTCCTTGAGTGACACCACCAGGCCCCGTGGGACTGGCGGCCTGTTTGAGCCTGTCTTCTAGATGTAAGGCTCCCTTATGTATGAGACGTATTTGTGATAGGAATCTAGCTTCTATTACCTTAGCAATAGCGGCGATATTCCCCTGCGAGACGCCACCAGGCCCCGTGGGACTGGCGGCCTGTTTGAGCCTGTCTTCTAGATGTAAGGCTCTCTTATGTATGAGACGTATTTGTGATAGGAATCTAGCTTCTATTACCTTAGCAATAGCGGCGATATTTCCATGCGTGACGCCACCAGGCCCCGTGGGACTGGCGGCCTGTTTGAGCCTGTCTTCTAGATGTAAGGCTCCCTTATGTATGAGACGTATTTGTGATACTAATATAACTTCTATTACCTTAGCAATAGCGGAGATATTGCCTTGTGTGTTACACCCAGTGACCCGTCATCTTGTGTGACGTTGTAGTGTCTTTATGTTGGTAGTAAAATATAGCTTCTACTACCTTAGCAATAGCGGCGATATTCCCTTGCATAACACCTTTTGACCAGGTATCTTCTATGACGCTTCTGTACCTAAGTTATGACAGTAATATAGCTCTTTGTGACAGCAAAACAAGTATTATTACCTTAGCAATAGCGGCGATATTCCCCTGAGTGACGCCACCAGGCCCTGTCGGACTGGCGGCCTGTTTGAGCCTGTCTTCAAGATGTAAGGCTCCCTTATGTATGAGAGGTATTTGTGATACTAATATGGCTTCTATTACCTTAGCAATAGCGGCGATATTCCCCTGCGTGACGCCGCCAGGCCCCGTGGGACTGGCGGCCTGTTTGAGCCTGTCTTCTAGATGTAAGGCTCCCTTATGTATGAGACGTATTTGTGACAGTAATATAGCTTCTATTACCTTAGCAATAGCGGCGATATTTCCCTGCGAGACGCCACCAGGCCCCGTGGGACTGGCGGCCTGTTTGAGCCTGTCTTCTAGATGTAAGGCCCCCTTATGTATGAGACGCATTTGTGACAGTAATCTAGCTTCTATTGCCTTAGCAATAGCGGCGATATTTCCTTGTGTGTTACACCCACTGACCCGTCATCTTGTGTGACGTTGTAGTGTCTTTACGTTGGTAGTAAAATATAGCTTCTACTACCTTAGCAATAGCGGCGATATTCCCTTGCATAACACCTTTTGACCAGGTATCTTCTATGACGCTTCTGTACCTAAGTTATGACAGTAATATAGCTCTTTGTGACAGCAAAACAAGTCTTATTACCTTAGCAATAGCGGCGATATTCCCCTGCGTGACGCCACCAGGCCCCGTGGAACTGGCGGCCTGTTTGAGCCTGTCTTCTAAATGTAAGGCTCCCTTATGTATGAGAGGTATTTGTGATACTAATATAGCTTCTATTACCTTAGCAATAGCGGCGATATTTCCCAGCGAGACGCCACCAGGCCCNTGAGACGTATTTGTTATAATAATACAGCTTCTATTACCTTAGCAATAGCGGCGATATTTCCCTGCGTGACGCCACCAGGCCCCGTGGGACTGGCGGCCTGTTTGAGCCTGTCTTCTAGATGTAAGGCCCTCGCTTCAGCCTCTTGCCGGGCCGCGATCGCCGCTTCTAGTTTGGTCTTCAATTCTTCCACTTTTCTTTCTTCTTCTGCCCGAGATTTTTCTAAAAGAAAACATTAGTTGGGTTTAAAATTAGTGTGTAGCTTTGACTTTCAAATCAAGGGAGTATAGTTTAATTTATGGTATAGTCTGGTCGCGCACGTAGAATTTTGACCAATGACCTCAGGCTTTAGTAAAGTGACTTTAGTAACCAAATTCCCGACTGATTAAAAGGGTTAAACTCGTGACACTATTAATACAGTTACTATAATCGAAATCGAAAGGTCTCTCACTAGGTGAACCGACGATTTAGTGAAGATCGCAGGAAGCATTTAGATGCGGGCAGCGCAGGACCGGTCGTTGTGGAAATATTTGGGGGAGGCCTTTGTCCAGCAGTGGACGACATTTGGCTCAAATGAACGAATAGCAACAAACATTTAGAATTCTTATGTGATGTTTTGTGTACTTAGTTTTCTGTCAAATCGACTGTGGTGCGCTGTCCAATCTGTCCATTTTGCAGTTAAGGAATTACCTACAACCTTTAAAAGGTCATCAGTCCATCAGAACGTCCCACGCTGTGCTGTATAACTCAGTGCCTATAAGGGAGCGGCACAGGAGGTTTTCTGTTAATATCAAACGTCAACGAGACTTCACATTTGTATGCTGTCACGTCATAGTCAATGTGAAGTTACATTCCCTCTAATATGGTCGAGTGAAGCGATGGCTGGTTCACTCGTCATGTCTGTGAACAGGCGCTGCTTTCGGGGACTGGTCAATCCAAGTTATTCAAATTTATGTATGCGAGTCATTTCTACTAGTACCTTAATATGTAAGTCTAGATATTAGCACGTCACTACCTTGTTTAATATACCACGCAATCTTGTATACCCATTCTTATGATACACCATACAAGAATGCATGGTAAATTCAGTGAACTGCTCCTGAATCGAATGTACCTACTACTACTATTTCTATTTATTTATATTAACCGGCAGACAGTGGTGACTGAGTTTGTTGCGGCGCTTCTTCTCAGCACTTGCCAAATGTTGGTCTCGAAGCGCTGGTAGGGTAAAAAGATTATGAGACATGTAGAGGCTCCTTAAGAGCAAAATGACGATTTGTAAGAACTATTTATTAGTCTAAACAAATAAAGAAATTTTGACTTTGACTTTGACTTTGAAGAAGAACGGCATCGAGGGTTTTTGTGATGTCAAACATCAGCGAATTGTGCTTTAGACTTGTATGCTCTGTCACGTCATATGCCACCCCTCCCGTGTCGCTCCCACACCACAGGCACTGACTCGAGTTATTTATTTTTATTTTGTTTTATTCAGAAAACAAACAGCTTACAAATATATAAATTGCACAGATACAGTGTAGTTGGTCACAAAGCCTATAGTTCAGGGTTTCCCAATTTTTTTTGCCAAGGAACCCTAATTGATTATACTTTTCCTAGCGGAACCCTACTTTGATAAATGGAAATTTAAATGAAAAACAATAAAGTTTTTATGCAATTATTTGTAAACAAGTCGGTGCGCGCGAACAACGTCGGTCACGAAACGTGGGATAATATTTTTTACGGAACCCTTGCGGCCTTTCCACGGAACCCCAGGGTTCCGCGGACCACCTTTCGGGAACCGCTGCTATAGTTTATATGCGCTTGAACTATAACGTACCTATTAACCCATCGATGAGCGGTTGCACGTCGATATTGAACCGTTGCGTCGCCCTGAAGTCTGGGTCGTAGCCGTTCTTGTGAAGAACTATCTGGGTTACGCATTCTTCTATGAGTTTGTAGTACGCCGGCCTGGAAGGAATAAAGGCTTTGTTTAAGAAGACTTACCCAAACGTACGATAGACGTGCCCAAAATTTCCTCATCAATAGGTAGAAGGCAGATCAATTTCTTGTATCCCTTCATTTACAACAGGGTTGTGGCAAGATGTGACATCAAAACATGTCCTCCGCGTGAAATCAAGGGAATAGTTACAAAATGGCTACTCTCAATTAGCTACATCGAAGCTGAAACATTGTTATCGTCAGTATACTAACTCACACACACACTCACACACACACACACACACTCACACGCAACTTATTTGATCAGCCCCTAAACTAAACTATACTATATTATGTTATATATTATGTTTATTTTTCTGTGTAATTTGAACAAGTAAATTTTTGAAATCACTTGCAAAACCAGGTATTCTATAGCGGTCTTGAATTTTTGTTATATATCAAACACATTTGTACCAAACTCAAGTCCCCAAAAGACAGGACTACCAGGATTTATTATTATTATTATTACTTATAATTTTATCATCATCATATCGTTTAGTGTTTTTCTTGTGTTTTTATCACTCATCATTGAGGTATTTTGGTCTCCTCTGTCTTTTTGAAACATTTCTTCAAATTGTGAGTTATTTGAATTACAGCTCTGGGTAACTGCTCAAACTGTATGAATTAAAAAGGCAACTTTTGGCAAAAAAAATCAGGATAGTCTGATTGCGATCTTCTTTAATCGTTTAATTTAATCTTCTTAAATCCACAAAATCACAAAAATACAGAATTGGAAGGTGCCTTTCGCCAAAATACGGTCTTCTGTATCGAATCGTGTTCACCATTTCATTAGTATGTAAAATATTGTCTGAGTTCAATTCAATTAAATTATTTCACAGAAATAACGTCTGGCCAGCGTGGGGAGTGTAGGCCAAATCCTCCATTTCATCATCATCATCATCATCATCGTCCTCGTCGTCGTCATAGGACGTCCACTGCTAAACATAGAAATAAATAAATAAATTAGAGGGTCGTGCTCCTGCAGTGGAGACTAAATGACCTGATGATGATGATGATGATGATCCGAAGCCCTATTTGAAATAGCTTTGATCGGCACTGACCTGAGGTGGAATTGTGTAAAGCAATCGTAATCATTTGACAGTTCATAACGTACGATTATTCTGTCAAACGCTTTGTTTAACTGACTTTATCGTACGTTATGAACTGTCAAATGATTACGATTGCTTTACACAATTCCACCTCTGATGAGCTCATCGTCTCGTATGAACAGTAAATGCTGTAGTATTGATAGCAGGTAGGGCTCGGCTGGCGTGTCCATTGCTAGATTCTTAACTAACTCGAAACACTCGCTTGTGTTTTATAATCGATTCATTACAATTATTGTTAAAGTATCCATAGCATCGATCTTAATTTCGGCCGTTTGGTGTAGTGGTTCAGAACGGACTACTATGCCGAGAGGTCCCGGGTTCGATTCCCGGCCGGGCAGAAATTGAAATGATGAATTTTAACTTTCTGTGACGGGTCTGGGTGTAAATATGTATAATATGTATGTATTTAATAAAAAAAAGTATATAAGTAGTATATCCGTTAAGCTAGCACCCATAACACAAGCATTGAGTTGCTTACTTTGGGGCTAGCTGGCGCTGTGTGAAATTGTCCAAAGATTTATTTATATATTTATTTATTAATTTTACGATAGTAAGATCGATTATAATTCGTCCAGTATCGATAGTATTTTGAGGGTGTTTTTGAGACGACAAACGTCAGCGAGACTTCAGATTTGTATGCTCTGTCATGTCATAATATGTCAATGTCATTCCTCCCGTGCCGCTACCATACCTCAGGCACTGACTGATAAGCTCTAAAGCCCGATGATTACGAGTTGTTGGTGCTTGGGGTACAAGCCCCTTTTGTCCACAGGGCACTCTGGTTACTACTATAGTCCCACGATTGGGGGGCCTTAGTCTACTCTCTTTGTTTTTTAAAGTCCGGTCGCCGAGCAGATAGAATTTCGTACAATGACTCCAAGCTACCCATCCTTATCGCTCTTCTGAGTCGCGCTCGTACACTCACTGCGGGCGCGCGTCGCACAGTCGCGACAGCAACATAATTACGCGCGAGCGATAAGGATGGGCAGCTTGGGGTCATTGGACAAAATTCTACGTGCTCGCAGACCAGACTGTAGACCTATAATTTCTTTATTAGTAGATGATACTAACCTTATAAGCTCATCGTCCCTTATGAACAATAAATGCTGTAGTATTGATAGCAGGTAGGGCTCCGCTGGCGTGTCCATCGCTAGATTTTTCACCAACTCGAAACACTCGTTCGCATCGTTGAAATCCACTCTGAAAGTAATATTTATTTATTTTAAACTTTGTAAATAAGTATAATAGCGCTTTCACATTAGGGCGTTAGAAGCGCGACTGCAGTGCGGCAGCGGTGTTTTTGTAATGTGAAGGCAGGCATCCGCTGTCACATAGTATGAAATTTTCGCCAGCGCGTCTGACACGTGTTTGTAGCGCTGCTAAATCGCCTAAATGTGAAAGCGCTCTAATAGTGAACAAAAGATATGCTTATAATGGCATTCTGAGGGCTTAGTGTGAGTTTACATAAAACGTCTTCACTAGTGACTACGTAAAAAAGTGACATTAAATGTATGTCGGATTGTACAGCGCCCCTAGCGGCAACTTTCAAGAACTAAAATTTTCATACATGTTTTTAACGCAGTCGATGCCGAATGCGTTCTATATAAACTCACACTACGCCCACAGAATCGAATAGGATTTTTATGCAAGGTCTCCCGCTCTCAACGAAAAACCGTATTTATGACCACAGGGACAGAGCGGGTACGGAGAAGGGAAACGGAGAGCAAGCGGAGAGGGAGCAAAGAGGAGAATCAGAGTGGGGAAGTGAAATAAGTATAATAGAGTACAAAAGGTGTTTTATATAGTACTAGCTGACCCGGCGAACTTTGTTCCGCCTTAATGGCAATAAATAAGCAGACTTTTTTTTTTATTTCGAACGGGATAAAAAGTATCCTATGTCCTTCTCCTGGCTCTAAACTACCTCCCTAACAATTTTCAGCTAAATCGGTTCAGCCGTTCTTGAGTTATAAGTGGTGTAACTAACACGACTTTCTTGTATATATATAGATTATGTCCCAGGCAACACTACTACTTTGCCTGGCCCATTCCCATTTTATTTGGGGTCGGCCCTCCGCGTCATGCGTCTCCAGATGGCAGGCAACAATTGAGGCAATTTTGTACATTCGTTTTCTTTGAAATTTGCAGTGTATTCGCGCCTAATGGTTTTCTCATTCAACCGTTAAGTCGCAAATCGTCTAGAGTGGAGAGGGGCATCGGAGAAGGAAAGCGGAGAAAGAAAATGTTGCGGAGATGAAGCGGAGAGCGGATAATTACCTGACGTCATCGAACTTGGCCAGGAATTCGTCCTGGTCTGCAGCAGCATGCGTGTCAAACACGTGCATCTGGATCTGACGCGAGCCTTCCGCGCCCGCGCGTAATTCGTCTGGAAAGACATAAATTTTATTTATAACGAACCTAACCAACTGTGTCATTGTTACCATCATACACTCGACAGCAAATAAATCGCACCACCCGCGACGCGAACTTTAAAGATTTTCTTTTGACACAATCATGGTGCCCCAACAATATTGGTGTTATTTGAAAGCCCAATAAATATCCTTAAAGAAAAACACATTTAATTTCTTAATAAATGATTAACATATACCATAAATGTGACTTGAAAAAAGACCTCACTTTGGGCTCACCTCTGGGATCAATTAGACCAAATTTTATGGTTATAAAACCAAATAATGATCACACGTGTCCTCTTTAACAGATGGATAGCGATTAATCCCAACTTAACAGTTTTATAGCCATAAAAGTTGGCTCAAGCGTAACTATCTATTTTTTGAAGAAGTGAGTCTGGATCCTTCTAAAGAAACATTTTTGGGGTAAAAACCTTTCCTATAATGAAATGAAGTTTAGAACTAGGCTTTTGAATGGTACCAATATTGGTGTGAAGTGGGGATGCATACGTTTGAAAGTGCTTGTCGCGGGTGGTGCGATTTATTTGCTGTCGAGTGTAGATTGCGCACGTTACTCTGATTTGGTATTATTCGATTTCTAATACAAAATCAAAAATATTTCATTAAATTTTGACCACTTATGAACGTCAAATACAGTACAAAATAAAAAAGGTAGCCCTTATGGGGCACTTTACATGTCTCCAGCGCTTCGAGACAAATATATTATGGCAAGTACTGAGAAGAAACGGCGGAACAAACTCCAACTTTGCGAGTAGAGTAACTGACAAGTTACAATTTCTTACAAAATTTGCGCGCAAAAAGCAAATCTAGTATGTAAAATCATCAAACTTCTAATGCTCGTAACTCAGTTCAGACTGAGTTTAGAGGTATACATGCCATAGTAAGTTTGGTTTATTACACTATTTCGTAATCAAAAAACAAAGTTTGGTCTATGGCCGCGCGAAAAAAAAAAGGCGCCACCTTCCATACAAAATCTGGCATTGCCATTTCACTCAATATTTGGACCAATAGCTTGGTTATTTTGAACCTTACCCAATATATCATAGAGTCCGGTCCTCATGAATTCGCTCCTCAAATGTAACCTGAATTCCAACTCTTCGGGCTCCGTGATGATGGCGTTTATCAGTTGCATGCAGCCGTTCTGAAATGACACGTATTGTAAAGTACAGTCACGGAATGAAAAGGTTCGTCAGTTTTCAAATTGATTCCTTCAACGAATCGCGAGCACATATTACCTTTTGAAACTATGTTACAGAATAATCTCGAGTTAGAGAAAATAATCTTTAACTGCTCGTCAGTAAAGTTCAAAATTATTCAGATCAAAGTTGTTTGACGATTTAACTTGTCAAGAAGATTATTATGATTGATAAACTAAAACCTTCTTGTTGGTTCAACCTGCCATTATCTATTAAATAAAAAAACTACATTTTGTAATATTGCACTAATGGGATAGAAAAATAAACAAGCAAAACCTTATTCGTTAGCAAACGTCATATTTATTTAAATGTTAGCAGCACTGTTTCTTGCACTGTTATGTTGGCAGGTTTGACTCTTACAGTACCTAGTGCAAGCAAAAACCGACACCAAGGTGACGAACCTTTTCATTCCGCGACTGTACATAAGGATGAGAGTTCCGTATTGATCTACCTTATTGTTGCACAAAACCCATGGAGATATAGAGAGATGCCAACTAATGCGCTGAGTTCGAAACTCAAGTGTCGCATTAGAAATTCACACACAAAGTAATCAAAATATGTGCTCATTATCCACTGCGGTATCAGTACTCAACGTTCGAATAATCGTTAGTACTACGCAAGCAATGTAAACTATTTACATTATGACGTCGCTGCTGTCATCATTGCTGTCACGAGCAATGTGTTCTGAGGGCCTAGTGTGAGTTTACATCAAAAGCACTCACTAGTGAGAGCGTCAAAAAATGACATTAAATGTATGACGGATTGTACAGCGCCCCTAGCGGGAAACGTTAAAAAACTAAAATTTTCATAAATTTTTTGAACGCGCTCACTAGTGAGCGCGTTTGATGTATACTCACAATCAGAAATAGAAATATTTATTTGTCTTTGAATAGGGTGCACATAAGGTCGAAAATAACAAAATATGATCACCTATCCAGCCATCAACAATAGCATGCAAATATATCGAAGAAATATTGATATTACATATAATTATTACGGTAGTTATACAGCCCACTATTTTTGGGCATATTGCTGCGACACAAGCCACGCCCCCTTGTCATATCTCCCTTTAGTTTCTGTGATGTGTGGTGCTCACTAAGACGGGATTTTGCAAAATTCAACCCCTAAGAGAGTAAAATAGGGTCCACGCGTACGAAGTCGCGAGCGGCCGCTAGTACCACATAAATAGTTGTTTAAAAATTACCTTCAAGCTCTCCGGCGCTTTAGTATCCAGTCCCTCAACGATGGGCAACATTCGAGGCTTCCTGCTAGACTCTCCCGCCATCGTGATCGCTTCTAGAACTTTCTCGTGACCGTTGGGAATCAGACAAATGGCTGCCAACACCTGGAAGACAAAAAAGAGTGCTTAATACGTATGGATTTGCTATTAAGTCCGCCTTATGTACACCGTTCTATGTGCATATAAGTTTTAAATAAATAAATGAATAAATCAAAAAGTAGAAAAAGTTTAGAGCCTGGATTTCAATTTGGCGTGTGGCTGACAACTGTCACCAAATTGCACCTTTTTGTTAATGGCATCTATAGTCCGGTCGCCGAGCACGTAGAATTTAGTCCAATGACCCCAAGCTACCCATCCTTATCGCTCGCGCGTAATTATGTTGCTGTCGCGCTCGCACACTCACTGCGGGCGCCCGTCGTACAGTCGCGACAGCAATATAATTACGCGTGAGCGATAAGGATGGGTAGCTTGGGGTCATTGGACGGAATTCTACGTGCTCGGCGGCCGGGCTTTAATCTCGTGCGCAATAAAAAAGAAATGTTTCGTCAACGACTATCCCTTTATTAAAAAAAAAGTTAAACTCATGTTGATCACTACTTTAAATTGGCATTTAGTGCGGAAATTTCATTTTAAACCAGCGTTCATCGCGCGTTTAACTTTTTTGTAATAAGGCAGCTAGTTAAGTTTGTTTTCATAGTTATTAAGACAAGCGAATAAGATTCAAAATGTGGTGGGAAACTCGGTATACTCCCACTGCCTTATAAAGGATTAACCCCCACTAACCTTGCCAGCCTCTATAAAGCAGTTCGGCAGACCCTAATACAAGGGAATAAGGTTCAAAATATGGTAGGAAATATATTCCCACTGCCTTATCAATCCCTACTGACCTTGGCAGCCTCCATAAAGCAGTGCGGCGGACCTTAAGACAAGTAGATAAAGTTCAAAATATGGTGGGAAATGTATTCCCACTTCCTTAAAAAGAATCAATCACCACTAACCTTGGCAGTCTCCATAAACCTGTGCGGTGGACCTTAAGACAAGCGTATAATGTTCAAAGTATGGTAGGAAATATATTCCCACTGCCTACTAACCTTAGCAGCCTCCATGGCGCAGTGCGGCTTCCTCGCATCCAGACTTCTAGCTAACACTGGTAGAGCCTCTCTACACTCGAAGACGGTACGGATTCCCACCGTGTTGTTGAGGATGATATCGAATAAGGTTCAAAATATGGTGGGAAATATATTCCCACTTTCTTATAAATCATCAATCCTCACTAACCTTAGCAGCCTCCATGGCGCAGTGCGGCGGACATTAAGACAAACGAATAAGCTTCAAAATGTGGTGGGAAATATATTCCCACTGCCTACTAACCTTAGCAGCCTCCATGGCGCAGTGAGGTTTCCTCGCGTCCAGACTTCTAGCTAACACTGGTAGAGCCTCCCGACACTCGAAGACGGTCCGGATTCCCACCGTGTTGTTCAGGATAGCGGACAGACATCGTATGCATTCGTACTGGACTCGGTCGTAGCGGGAATCGCTGGAAAGAGATAGCAGATGTTAGATATAAATAAAATTATTTGAAAAGGGTGTCAAAGCTGTTGAAAAGCCTACTTGCAAAAAAAAATGTTTTATAAGTTTTAAACGCGACACCTCAAATTACTACGGGAAGAGTGGGGATGGTTTTATCCTCGTAAAAGTATGTCAAAACAACACGGCAACATACAGGCTTTCGATTATCTCCACTAACAGAGTAAATACAAATGAGTAGGTCATCTCCATAGAAACGCACCGAGCGCGGTTTGTGTGTGAGCGCGCCAATACGTATGCGGCGCGCACGCACACACTGACAAAATTCGGCGCAACCACAACTGGCTCCCCGCTAATCCACGATAAAAGACAATGCCGGAAATTGGCGTCTTTTTTTTTCGCGCGGCCATCGACCAAACCTTGTTTTTTGATTACAAAATACTGTAATAAACCAAACTTATTATTACATTTATACCTCTAAACTCAGTCTGAACTGAGTTACGTGCATTAGAAGTTTGATGATTTTACATCGAATAGAATAATTGTTTATTTGCATAGGTTTGCTTTTTGCGCGCAAGAACTTACCGATAGAATCCACTTCCACTGATAGCATGAAAAAACAATGAATATAATATGTAGCAATAAGTAATATTCAATGCAAACAATGTTATCAGTAATATTTTTTCGGCAGTTGGAAGTAAGATAGGCAGTTCCTCTGTGGTTGATTCCAACCTGATCATCACCTTCCATCGGGTGAGATGCCTGGTTAATGACGCCGTGACCTACGCCATCATCATCATCATTTCAGCCACAGGACGTGTATTTTTTTATCCACAACGAGGAAGCTCTTGGCCTGTATCTCACCTGATGGTAAGCGACGATCAGGCCGAAGGTGGAAGCGAGCTTCACCCGGAAAACTCAACCACGGAGGAACTGGCTATCTTACCTCTAACTGCCGGAACACAATAATGCTGTTAACATTGTTGTTATGGCGACAGACTTAGGTAAGATGGTGGTAGCTAGCCCGGCGGACTTAGAACAAGCCCTACCAACTAAACCGAACAGAAAAATTTGCCCCCACTGGGAATCAAACCCGGGACCTCTGCGTCTGAAGCAGGTGGTCTTACCACTAGACGACAGAGGCGGTTATTGCTGAACATAGGCCCCTATACATTTCCAGATTGCCAAGTTGCATCCAGCGCCTTCCTGCAACCTTTATAAACTTCTGCCAAATAAACTTACTTGATATAACACAGGTTGAGGGTGATCAGTAGCGTCTTAAAGATCCTTAACCCAGGATTGTTGGTGAGCCGCAACCCTCAGGGTCACCAGAAAATATGGATGCATCTGTGCAAAGTCCTAATAACAAGAGTGTATAGATCGTTCCATCCACTAAGACGCGCCCCACCAATGTTTGGTCTCGGTCTAACGGGGTGCAGGGAGTGTGATCCGAGCAATCCGAGCTGCATTATTGTAGTGTGCGTGTGCACTCATGGATGATTTAGCGTGTACCGACAACACTCAAACATTAGCGGAAGAATGGGCGCATCCTCGTGGATGGCTTATTATAATAAACTTACTTGGTATAGCACAGGTAGAGGGTCCCTAACTCCTCAACCCAGGATAGAGGCTTGTTGGTGAGAGAGCCCTCAACCTCTAGAATAAAGACATCTCTGCAAAAACCATAACCTAAAAGTCTACAATAAACCTACTTGGTGTAACACAGGTTGAGGGTAGTAAGCAGCGTCTCAATGCCTTTGGTCCCGAACTCCTCAATCCAGGATAGAGGATTGTTCGTGAGAGCTATCCTCAGGTTCTCCAGGCATCCGTGCAGTTTCCCCACGGATAGTTCTGGCTGGCTGAGGTACTGGACGTAGTCTGAAGGCTTTTCCAGCTTGGAACGCCCCGCCTGGAATGGAGAATGTGCATTTTAGAGGTTTTATCATTATTTGGGCACAGGAGATCGAGGTTTAACCACAAATGTAAGGACGTAGCACACTTATCAACCCGGAAAGGGATCGTAACCGTATCAACTCGAGGCGGTCAGTAAACTCCATACTGCAACGCACACTTATCCGCACCGTAATGTGAATGCCTCGCCTCGCGATTTACAGCGCGCGAAAGACGATGACAGCTCGCGAAAGGCGATACGGTGTTGATCCCTTTCCGAGTTGATAAGTCTGCTTTGACCTTAAACAGGGTGATGACTGAGTTTGTAGCAGGACTTCTTGTCAGTAAATTTACCAAACATTTGTCTCGAATAGCTGGTAGGGCAAAAAAAACACCAAACAAATGCTTTAAAGAGCAAAAATAGGCTAGTGCAACTCCTGTGTAGCCAGAATCTACAGCTTAACAGCCAATAAAAACTCAACCAGTTAAGGCAGAGTTGGTCCCAGGTGAAAGTTAAACTGTCCTTGGTGAGTGCGGCTTTGGCCGCTATTTTCTTCAAAATCAGTTCACCCATAAGGTCAACAGGCAGAGAATGTCTCATGGCATTGAGTTCTTCTTATGTACCAATTTATACAATAAGAAAGTCATTGTGCCTCGTCCTGATCAATGCTTACAAAAGGTTAAAGATGAAATAAAGAAATAACAAGTACCTGAGCATTGACGAATTTGTACGCGAAAAGCATCTGCTTCTTCTGCGCGTTGGAGTACTTCCGGAGAGGGGCCTTCTTCTCTTCACTGAGGTTCATGTCGGACTGAAAAAATAATAGTAATGGTCAGTAGGTACAACTTGGAAAGAACAAGCTTGCAAATTGAAATCAATTCCAAATCAAAATTATGTATGTAGACTGTCTCATTTTTAGAATTTTCTTGGTCGAACTAGCAGCATTAACCATGTTTTTAGAATGTTCCTGGCCTACTCATGTACCAAAGATTTTGCCTGAAGCTAACAGATCTTTGCCTGGACTCTATTCTAGAAGGTGCCCCTGCTACTGTCCCAAACAGTTTCTAAAAACGTATCCACTCATGCATGGGGATCTCCGAGCCAAGCATTTGCCTCAGACTAGCAGACCTCTGTCCAGACTCCCTTCTAGAAACTTCCAACTGTTATACTGTCCCGAGCAGTTTCTAGACCATTCTTAAGAGACTTGCGAGGATATCCTTAAAGCGTCAGGTCAGGAGTTCTCTATCTAGCTCCAGTTCCAGCTCATTCTAGAAAGTTCTAGAGGGTTCTATGTATACTCACGAGCATCTTCTCGAATCTTGGTCCTATACTCAGCAATGGCGGAGGCCTCGTCGTCTTACTGTCTCAGCTCCGTGGACATTCGACATTCGTAAAAGCCCCGAGCAGAGTCTAGAACATTCTGGAATGTTCTGGAATACTCACGAGGTCTCTTTGAAGCGTCTCCACCTCAGATCAGCGGTTCTCCATCTTCCCATTCTGGAGCCTTCTAGACCCTTCCAGTAGGCCTAAGATGCGCGCCGCGATAAGCGGTTATCACGCCATTTTATCGATTTTCCCCATACATTTTAACGTCGATAAAAGTTATCACGGCGTGCATCTTAGGCCTACAGGCGTCTTCACGAGCATGTCCTATCCACGCTCTTGTCTCAGGCTAGTAGATCTCTTTTCAGGCTTCTTTTTAGAAGCCTCCAACTTCCGAAATTCCCTGAAAACTTTCTAGAACATTCCAGGTGTACTTACGAGCATCTCCTCGAACCTCCTCTGCAGCTGGGCATCATCCAGCGCGTCCAGCTTGCTCCTATACTCAGCAGTGGCGGAGGCCTCGTCTTCTTCGCCGCGGTGCTCGGCGCGCGGTACGGTATTGTAGCCACTGACCTGGATGGTTTCTGGAAGGTTCTAGGGCATCTATACGAAGCCACACTGCTTTGAGCAAGCAGTTGTCTTCATTTTAGAAGTGTCCAGCTTCCAGATCAGCCTAAGCAGTGTCTAGAACATTCTTAGATACTCACAAGGCGCGTCGTCCCTTAGCCAGCGGTCTTCGTCTAAGTCCAGTTCTATCATGTTTCTAGAAGGTTCCTGGTCTTCTCCTTAAAGTGTCTCTACCTGAAGTAGTTCTGTACCCAGATTCCTTTCTAGAAACCTCCACTGCCTCGAGCAGTGTCTAGAAGACTTCTAGTCTACTCAGGAGCGTCTCTTTCTCTGGCCAGCAGTTCTCCATCTAGATCTCATTCTAGAGCCTTCTGGAAGGTTCCCAGTATACTCACGAGCATCTCCTCGAACCTCCTCTGCAGCTGGGCGTCATCCAGAGCGTCCAGCTTAGTCCTATACTTAGCAATGGCGGAGGCCTCGTCGTCTTACTGTCTCAGCTCCGGGGAAACATTTGTAAAAGCCCCGAGCAGAGTCTAGAACATTCTGGAAGGTTCCTAGCGTACTCACTAACATCGGCTTGAAACATTTCTGCCTCTAGCCAGTAGTTCTCCACCTAGATTCCTTTCTAGAAGCCTCCGCAGTCCTTAACAGTATATAGAAAGTTCCTGGTCTACCCAGAAGCATCTAATAGAAGCATCCCTTTCTCTGGCCAACGGTTCTCCATCTAGATCCTTTTCTAGAGCCTTCTAGAACATTCCAGGTGTACTTACGAGCATCTCCTCGAACCTCCTCTGCAGCTGGGCATCATCCAGCGCGTCCAGCTTGCTCCTATACTCGGCAGTAGCGGAGGCCTCGTCGTCTTACTGTCTCAGCTCCGTGGAACATTTGTAAAAGCCCCAAGCAGTCTCTAGAACATTCTGGAAGGTTCCTAGCGTACTCACTAGCATCGCCTTGAGCGTATCTGTCTCTAGCTTCTACCTAGACTCCTTTTTAGGCCTGAACAGTCTCTAGAAGGGTCCTGGTCTACTCAGGAGCGTCTAATGGAAGCGTTTCTTTCTCAGCGTTCCAGCTCTTTCTAGAAGTCACTAGAACATTCTGGAAGGTTCCTGGTATACTCACGAGCATCTCCTCGAACCTCCTCTGCAGCTGTGCATCATCCAGCGCGTCCAGCTTGCTCCTATACTCGGCAGTAGCGGAGGCCTCATCGTCTTACTGTTTCAGCTCCGTGAAACATTCGTAGTGAACATTCTGGAATGTTCTAGAATACTCACGAGGTCTCTTTGAAGCGTCTCCACATCAGATCAGCGTTTCTCCATCTTCCCATTCTGGAGCCTTCTAGACCCTTCCAGGCGTCTTCACGAGGATGTCCTATCCACGCTTTTGTCTTAGGCTAGTAGATCTCTATCCAGGCTCCTTTTTAGAAGCTTCCAGCTTCCTAAATATTCTGAGAACTATCTAGAACATTCCAGGTGTACTTACGAGCATCTCCTCGAACCTCCTCTGCAGCTGTGCATCATCCAGCGCGTCCAGCTTGCTCCTATACTCAGCAGTGGCGGAGGCCTCGTCTTCTTCGCCGCGGTGCTCGGCGCGCGGTACCGTATCGTAACCGCGCTCGGGGCCGCCGCCCGCTTTCTTCGGACGCCCGAACCATGTGTCCAGCTGTGGGCAAAGAGAGAAAATGGTTAGGGAAAACTACAGTAGTAACTGATATAGTCCGCAAAATGGCCACAGTGGCAGTGGACGGGGCACGAAGCTCGTAGAACTGATAGTTCTCGAGTGGTAACCGCGGAGTCCACCAATTGGAAAAGTTAGTGTACGCAGCCACTTGGTGGACCGATGATCTAGAGCGTCTGGATGCGGGCAACACAGGACCGGTCTTTGTGAAAATCTTCGGGGAAACCCTGTCCAACAGTCAGAAAAGTAATCCGAAGTTTCAAATGCTTCCATCCTTCTCACGCAAAGCGGGATACCAGCAAAAAGGAACTGCTGGACAAAGGCCTCCCCCAAGGATTTCCATAACGACCGGTCCTTCGCTGCCTGCATCCAGGGTCTTCCCGCGACCTTCACCAGATTGACCAAAAGTGGTTATCGCAAACTAATTTGGAGACATGGAGCAAACAATACAGTCGACAGAATCTAACGCCCGTATTCGCAAACATTAGTATGAGGTCTCACAGTGCGCGTGGACGCACAGGGTCACACACGAACCAATCACAGAGCTTTATTCAACGCTGTGCGTTCGATTTGCTGCTTCACTTCAGCAAGCATCGTTTGTGAATACGGGTAGTACTACGTTTTTGGGGCAAAATTACACCAATTCTAAAGATGTAACAGTATTTTTCTTCGTGAGCCATTTAACAAAATGCTTCCTTATTTACCGGTAAACCAAAGAAACGTAAGTTTTTCTGTACATTGTTGATAAATGATTTAAATACAATGACGTAGGTGCCTTGTTAGTATGCGAATCTATTAGTCGGTGCATGCTTTGCTAAGTAGCACGGCCATATGAAGTGTTCGTAAGAGCATTACTCATACAGGGTGTCGCTTTTTTTAAAACCTCAGCCAACAATCACAATATAAAAAAGTTATGTGTTTACGAGTAAATGTGTTGTTTACGGATTTTAGGGAGCCCCTTTAAATTGAAATTCATTTCAGCATAGTCTTGTGTCACTTACTCAAGTGCTAAAAGGGCAAAGGCATTAGTTTTGTAAAAAAATGATCATGAAGAAATATTTTTGTTCAAGTTAAAAACTTGGTTACGAACTTAGTTTTATCTTGTGAGGCCTATGTTTCTGATTTCTGAATGTTGTTTTCAGAATCTGAACTGTGTTGGTACAAAATAAATAAGTCAAAACTTTTTTCAACATCAGGTGATTTGAAATTCCACTGTAAGATCAGGACTCTCTCTATTTACCAGAGGCAAAAGGAGGATTTGACCTACACTTCACCTGCCGCGATGGCTAGACGGGCCAGCGAGACTTATTTTACTATTTATATTTTTTGTATCATTTTTTTCACCCTATATTCAAATTCAACAAGACTTAAATCAATTCTTGATTCCTGATCGACGTTTCATAATACGTACGGGCAGGCTACTTTTCAACTATACCAAGAAAAATATACATATTTACATGAACCTCGTAATTTCTACATAATCTATTATGTGAGATGGTGCGTTTTCGTATTCCGTTTTCATACTGTATACTATAAACAGATTAAAGAAAGTTTAAAGATAAAGAAAATCATCATCATCAGATCATTTAGTCTTCATTGCAGGAGCACGACCCTCTAATTTACCAGAGGCAAATGGAGGATTTGTCCTACACTCCCCACGCTGGCCAGACGGGTTGGGGAGGCCTGATGTTCGCATTTTTGTACTTCAGTTGCCATCTAGTTCCAAACTTAGAAAACAATGGTAAACAGACAACGGTAGCTTATATTTCTATTTGTAAATCTACAATGTATAAAAGCGAAAGGTCACTGACTAGTGACTCGCTCACTCATCACGAAATCTCAGAAACTACAAGTGCTAGGAGTCTCAAATTCTGCATGGGGGTTCCTTTTAGAACGTAGGTGCTCAGTAAGACGGGATTTTGCAAAATTCAACCCCAAAGGGGGTAAAAAGGGATCCACGCGTACCTACGAAGTCGCGGGCGGCCGCTAGTACTTACATACAATATACTTTATGCATATTAATGCACAAAAATGTTTAAGCAATAAATAGCATTGTTTAATATAGAACATATTGAAAAGTTGATTTTCTGGTTCCTTAATGAGTTGCAGTGTGAACGATTATTGCAATATTAAATATTTATTACTAATTAATTTAATTATCGGTCTGAAAAAAGAATTTCAACACGATTTCCACAGACGACGCGCGGGCACCTCAAGCTTTACACTGTAGACTCTTCGCTCAAGGCAGGTATAGATCGTTTCATCCACGAAGACGCGCCCCGCCATTCTTCCGCTAATGTTTGAGTGTTATCGGTACACGCCAAATGATCCATGAGTGCACACGCACACTACAATAATGCCGCTCGGATTGCTCGGATCAAACTCCCCGCACCCCGCGCGACCGAGACCAAACATTGGTGGGGCGCGTCTTCGTGGATGAAGCGATCCATAGATACCGATACCGGCACCATTCGTTCGTTCGTTCGTTTCAGCCGAAAGACGTCCACTGCTGGACAAAGGCCTCCCCCAAGGATTTCCACAAAGACCGGTCCTGCGCCGCTCGCATCCAGGCACCTCCCGCGACCTTCACCAGATCGTCGGTCCACCTAGTGGGAGGCCTGCCACGCTACGTTTTCCAGCTCGTGGTCGCCACTCAAGAACTTTCCTGCTCCAGCGGCCATCACCACCGGCACCATTGCCTTTTGATTTAATTGACCTCAATGGTTTTGAAACGGTTGCCTCGCGAAGTACGTACACGAATTTAAATGGTGACTTTGACAAATAAGTCGATACGGGTCATCGCATTGTCCCATTGTTTGTCCACAATCGATTCAGCAATGGCGATGCAATCGATAGTTAACTAATCGATTATACGAAGGTCTTCGATGGTGATGAAGGTTCATTGAATTTTGATTTTGTTATGTGCAAGCTAACGCCCGTATTCACAAACATTACTATGTCTCACAGTGCGCGTGGACGCACAGGGAGACACACGAAACAGTCATAGAGCTCTATTCAACGCTGTGCGTTCGATTTGCTGCTTCACAGAGCTGGTGATCGTTTGTGAATACGAGCGTAAGTCCCCACAGAATACAGACTCTTTAAAAGCGCTTGTTCCCAACTAGTCACACCGTAATGTGTAACAGTGTTACTCATCATTTCAGCCATAGGACGTCCACTGCTGAACATAGGCCTCCCCCAATGATTTCCACATCGCCCTATTGGTAGCGGCCTGCATCCAGCGTCGTCGGTCTACCTTGTGGGTAGACATACGCTGCTACTCGTTGGAAAAAAGCCCATCAAGTCACATCGTCACTCGTATAGGACATTTATTTAACTATCTTCCCATTCGGTCACACTGTAACCTGTATTTTCTGACATAAGCTTTACGTTGTCACTGGTTACGTGGCCATTCCCACCTCTCGTTCCCACCGCTGCAACTCCTGTGTAGCCAGGATCTACAGCTTGACCGCCAATAACCCAACCAGTGAAGGTCAAGTTTGTCCCGGGGGTAAATTAAACTGTCATTGGACCCGCAACGAAATTAATCAGAAGAACATAGGAGGAGTTCGAAGTTAAGGTTCGACTTCCCTCCATTGCAAAGTGAATGACAGGTAACAAAGGTTTAGTAATTGTGAGTGGTTGGGAACAAGCGTTTAGAAGTCATCTTTTTTCTGCAAATAGGATTTTAAAAAGCGCTTTTCGGGGCAATAAATGGGCCAGTGCTGAGAAGAAGCAGCGCGAGAAAATCAGTCACATTTGTCAAGTACTTTAATCGGGCTGTTAATCAGTATCCCATCAAAAACAATACTTGTCAAAAAAACCAAGTCTCGCAACTCAGTTGTTCTACGGTAAAAAGTTGTGAGATCCATGTAATACCAAGTCCAGGCCAGAAAATCTTTAACGTTTTACATAAATTATTGACTTGGCCATCGCACTAAATAATCTGGGGGCACGGCAGTGCCCCCACCAAGTCGAGCAAAAAAGCGGCACGGCCGTACCATCCTTTTCTCGAAGCAATTCAGGCCATTTTCGACTGCCTGTAACTTCGTTGTGGATAAAACTAGAAGGCTGAATTTTCATTAGCTATGCAGGCATTGTAAAGACACGGTATATTTAAAATTTAATTCAATTTGAACCAGTAGTTTAATAATTATAACGGGTCAAAGTTACTTAATTTTGTCACTCACTGACTCACTCACTCACTCACTGACTCACTCACTGACTCACCGATCATCAAAACTCTAAGGCACTTCTAGCAGACCTAGAAGCTTCAAATTTGGAATATAAGTAGTGTTTGGTGTATGAATCAAGGAAAAACTAAAATATTTGGGGGCACGGTAGTGCAACCGCCAAGTCGAGTAAAATTTTTCAATTTCGGTCCAGTTTTCTAGATACATAACTGCTGTCTACAAAATACAAAAAGAAATGAGATCCCATCAAAAACAATACTTGTCAAAAAAACCAAGTCTCGCAACTCAGTTGTTCTACGGTAAAAAGTTGTGAGATCCATGTAATACCAAGTCCAGGCCAGGAAATCTTTAACGTTTTACATAAATTATTGACTTGGCCATCGCACTAAATAATTTAATTTACACGTGTTTTCATGCGATGGCCAAGTCAATATATTTATGTAAAACGTTAAAGATTTCCTGGCCTGGACTTGGTATTACATGGATCTCACAACTTTTTACCGTAGAACAACTGAGTTGCGAGACTTGGTTTTTTTGACAAGTATTGTTTTTGATGGGATCTCATTTCTTTTTGTATTTTGTAGACAGCAGTTATGTATCTAGAAAACTGGACCGAAATTGAAAAATTTTACTCGACTTGGCGGTTGCACTACCGTGCCCCCAAATATTTTAGTTTTTCCTTGATTCATACACCAAACACTACTTATATTCCAAATTTGAAGCTTCTAGGTCTGCTAGAAGTGCCTTAGAGTTTTGATGATCGGTGAGTCAGTCAGTGAGTGACAAAATTAA